CCTCACCTCACCTCACCTCACCTCACCTCACCTCACCTCATTGTTTTATTTATCTTTTTTATTTTAGTCTATTTCATTATTTATTTATTTGGTCATTTTTTATTTATATACCTTTGACATTTTCACCAATAACCAGCACCTCAGAAAAAGATCCCCAGTACATTCAGGGGTGGAAATAACCCATTGCCCGACGTCCGAGTCCAGTGTTTTTTTCTGTCGGGCAAGCAAATTTGTATATCACACTGTACCGGTGTCCAGTTGACTTTCCAATGTTAATTATGTTCTTTATTTTAAAAAATCAACAAGAAAACAGCCGGTATAGTGGAAAAATTATCAGGGCAAAAGATTTTACATGTGCCACTGTTCCGGAGTACACTAGCAATTTTAAAGTTATTTCCACCCCTGACATTATTCTTTTATTAGCAGCCATATGAGATTAGTTAATTGGTCAGGCTTGGTGACTTGGCTGATAACATGTACTTATACCCCAACAACGTGGGGCATTGATCCATAGATCAATCACTCACTATCCTGGCAATGACATGATCAGTTACTGCCGCATGATAAGGCTGGAATATTGCTTAGTCATGACAGCAGAAATAAACAACATTGAGTCGTGATTATGATGACCCACTTCCACCCACTGAGACAGACCACCTGACCTGGTGACCCACTCAGGCGGTAATAAAGGACTTTTATTCATGCTTAGTTCCCATGGCGGGTAAATTATTTAGACCAGGATTGAAATATTTTGAGTCTTATTATGTGAGCGTGAATAGATGTTTTATCATAGTTTTTAAGTTTCAACTTTGTACAATGAACTTGTGTAAACTGTATGGAGAATGAAATCCCTTTGCTTTTTTTAATTGTTATTGTAAAGTACAAGCAAAGTATCAAACAATGTTTTGATAAATTTGCTTACGAATTTTCAGGTTTTGAAAGGAACTGAAATATAAATAAATAGTGCAGTCATATCTTTTAGGACATATTTTGTGTTCTTTCAGGGATCTCAACATACGGTTCTTAGTAATTTATTGATTTTATGTATTTCCCTGTTAAAGTAGGTACTTCCAACAACATAATAGAAATTAACTTCCAGATTCGTGTTCAAAACAGTGAATGAAAAAAAATGAATTCAGCTCTTTGTATTTTTTTCTTTTCTTTCCTTTTTTAAATGCAACCTATATTTTTACATGCACCCAGTGTAACTGGTAGTCAGAATTGTACAAATAGGTAGGAGTTGTGGGGTAGCCTAGTGGTTAGAGCGTTCGGTCGTCACACAGAAGACCCGGGTTTGATTCCCCACATGGATACAATGTGCAGTGTTCGCGAATAGTGTCTGACCCTCTGACAAATCCGGCAGATTCGCCAATGGTCCGATAGAAGTCTACAACCCACCGGCCCCAGTGTCCGACTGTATATTTCACAATAACTTTGACTGAAGTTGTTATATGTGACATGTGACACTTGTTTGCTGTTTATTTTATCTTAATTTTTCTTATGTTTGTTTATAATTTCAATGCCAATTATAAGAAATGTTAAATCTGAAATGAGTGTTTAATTTTATTCAATGGGTCCTGTGAATTTTCAATGGGTCAGACAGACATCTTAAACTTATAGGACCCAATGTCCTGTTACTTTGAAACACCATTCGTGAACACTGAATGTGTGAAGCCCATTTCTGGTGTCCCCACCATGATATTGCTGGAATATTGCTAAAAGTGTCAACTCACTCATCTTTGGGTACTTCAGAGTTATGTTTGTATATTCCTCTGAAGTTCTGAAACAATATATCAATAATATATGTTAACAGACCGGAGGCAGGCAGTTGTCATCCAGGGTGAAAGGTCAGAGGCAACGTACTTGAAGTTTGTAGTGCCTCAGGGCTCCGTCCTAGGCCCCCTACTTTTCACATGCTACACATCTTCCCTCGGTGATATTGTAAGGTCCTACAACTTAAGTATGCATCTCTATGCTGATGACACGCAAGTCTACTTATCATTCAAGCCATCTGACGCATCTTCAACCAAGTTCTCCTTTTCAAGAGTAGAAGAATGTGTTGATTGTATCAAGAGTTGGATGTCATCGAAATATCTTAAATTAAATGATGATAAAACTGAGCTCATTGTGTTCCACCCTCTTCTCTTGCTTCAGAAAAAGCTTCTGCTTCCACAGTTTTGCATCGGTGAATCTGCAATAATAAAAATGCGGCCACATGTTCGCAATCTTGGTGTAATCTTTGACTCTGCCCTCAGCATGGAACCCCATGTTCGCAATGTCTGTCGCCAATGTTATTTCCATCTGCACAACATTGGTTTGATCCGTCGATACTTGGATGTGAAATCTGCACAAGCTCTAGTTCAAGCATATGTAACATCCCGCTTGGATTATTGTAACTCTTTGCTGTCTGGTGTGCCAAAACAAGTCCTCTACAGGCTACAGAAGGCACAAAATTCAGCCGCACGATTGATCTGCCAAATTAAAAGGACTAAACACATCTCTCCTGCCCTCAAATCCAATTCGCTTCAGAATCGACTACAAAATCCTGGTCCTTGTTTTCAAGTGTCTAAACGGTCTAGCTCCAAAATACCTCTCGGATCTCCTTATACCTTATCACCCAACTAGATCACTCCGGTCAAGGGACCAGTCTCTCCTTGAAATACCACAAACTAGAACTAAGTCATATGGGGACAGGTCTTTCTCTAGAGCAGGACCCTTCCTCTGGAACAATTTACCATCCATCCTTCTTTCCGAAACAGAACTGTCAAATTTTAAAAGTGGACTCAAGACGCACCTATTCACCTCTGCATATGGATAAAGTGGACTCAGATAGCGTTTTTGAGCAATTAGATTGATAAAAAGCGCATTGCAAATATTTGTATGTATATATGTATATGTGAAAGTAGACCAGCCGGCTACCATGTGATATTTATGCTGGACGCGGAACATGGTGTGTCATTTTTTCATTTAATGAAAGAAAAGTAATCTTTACAAGCTAACTGCTGAAGACACCCTAAAGCTACAGTTGCTATGGAAAGAATATGACCAGTTGATGCCAAATTTCAAGGATGTGAGCATCATCTTGCATGTCAGGTAGACAAGGGGGAGAAGAGTCGGCTTGGAGCAGTGATGATGATATAGACAATGGTGTTAGGAGATTGTGTCCCTCGACCCATCACCCTAACATTATTAATATCCTTGTGCATCAATTATACTTGTAATCCCACAAAAAAAAAATTCAACAAGAGGCCCTTCGGGAATTTTAATTATGTAGTTAGATTTTTGATCATGCAACATTCTATGTACTTATAATGTTGGAATAATAATGACATTGTCTTAGTTTGAAGTTTTCAGGAAGTGAATTGTGTTGCATATGTTGTCCAATCATGACACTGTACTTTGCTGAAGCATATCAAGTGTGATGCAGATATGGATAAGGGTTAGGAAAATACTATGCGACAAGACATTGATCTATTTTGCGACAGTTAGATACAAAATGATTTATAGGGAAAAACACAGATAAGATTTACTGTACAGTGTTCACGAATGGTGTTTCAAAGTCTCAGGACATTGGGTCCTGTAAGTTTCAGATGTCTGTCTGACCCATTGAAAATGCACAGGACCCATGTAATAAAATTAAACACACATTTCAGATTTAATATTTCTTATAATTGACATTGAAATTATTAACAAACATAAGATTTATAAACAGCAAACAAGTGTCACATGTCACATAAAACAACTTCAGTCAAAGTAATTGTGAAATATACAGTCAGACACTGGGGCCGGCGGGTTGTAGACTTCTGTCTGACCGTTGGCGAATCTGCCGGATTTGTCAGATGGTCACACGCTATTCATGAACACTGACTGTAGCTTGCATAAGTTATGATGGTGGACTTGATTCAAAGTTGTGATGATGAACCTGTTTCAAAGTTGTGATGTTCAGTGATGCAGCCAGACTGTGTAATTGCGAGATTCCTGCTAATTGTACTTACCTTGGCGTTTATTTATAAATGTGTGCGCCAACAATTTCGCAGATTTATAATTCATAACCCATTTTTATCTATCAGTCGTGTAATTAATTTCAAAATACGACTATTTTCATTGAAATCGATGTCAAACATTCGGAAATCAAAATAATTTTTTGAACATTTTCTGAATTCAAAACAAGGCTTCCTAAGCTCTGCACTTTGCTACGGAGCTCGACTCGATGTACAGAGTTAACATCAAACCTTTTTTGGCTGTCAAAATGTCTAAGAAAAGGGTTACAGATTTTTTTATGTCTGGTAGTAGAAATACCATACGTAACTTTAGGTTATTGACCCACATTTTCTGTAGGTAGGGGCCATTTGGCCCCTTTTAAGGAAATCCTGCCTGCAGGCACTAGATGGTGGACTTGTTTCAAATGTTGTGATGTTGGTTTGCAGAGCTCCAGATAAGCTTTTGGCCATGTGGGTAGGATACCCATACTTTTGAAACTAAGTGGGTATCTCCAATTTCAAGTGGGTGTCTATACTTTTTTATACCCACCATTTTTTTCAAGTCTGGGTATTCATTTCAAATAATAAGTTTAAGAGGTGCGACACAGGTGAAACAACACACTTGCTTATTAATTCATCTAGCAGTACTCTAATGAAGTTGTTTTCTGTTTGTAGTGTAAAAAACCCTTAATATTTTACTTTGAACGTGTGGAATCTCGATTTGTTTATAGGACATGTAGAAAGAAAACAGCTGTTTGATGGGTCGCTATTAATAGACTGGCCAGTCAGTGAAGAGTTAACAAACCTTGAATTTGATACGATAAGCTTGAATTGATACGATAAGCAACATAATTTTGATGTATTGGGTAGATACGCATTCTTATTTGACACAGCGTAAACGTAAATGTTTTGTGTTTTTTTCATACGCTGGCATTTATTTTACTTGCATATTTAAACTTTTCTATAGCGTACTATATGCAACTATGCAGCTTATCTGGAGCTCTGGGTTTGTGTTTTCAGTGGAGATGCCCCGAGGGTTCTACCTGCTGGAGGAGCTTGAACAAGGACAGAAGGGCAACGGTGATGGCACAATCAGTTGGGGCTTGGAGGATGAAGATGATAGACTCTTAAGCAGATGGACTGGCACTATCATTGGACCACCCAGGGTACTGAGTTTGTAACATAGGGGCGGTGGGGTAGCCTTTTGGTTAAAGGTTTTGCTTGTCATGCCAAAGACCCAGGTTTGATTCCTCACATAGGTACAATGTGTGAAGCCCATGTCTGGTGTTCCCCGCAGTGATATTGCTGGAATATTGCTAAAAGCGACATTAAATTATATTGCCAGATTGATTGATGCATCAAATTCCAGTTGTGTAGATCGATGCTCGTGATGTCAATCACTGAATTGTCTGGTCCAGACTCAATTACTTACACACTGTTGTCATATAGCTGGAATATTGCTGAGTGAGCATGAAGCAATAAAAAAATTGAATCATTTTGTTCTTTTTGGTAAAAGAAATTGTTGAAGAATGAGGACTATTTTTATGGATATACAACTTCTTTATTCTATATAGGCGACATTTCGACATTAGAATCTATGTCAAAACATCGCCTATATAGAATAAAGAAATTGTATATGCATAAAAATAGTCCTCATTCTTCATCTACCCAACTTTTAGAATGCCAATCAAAGAAGTCAAGAAATTGTTGGTTGTATAACAAGATTTTTAAATTAACTTTATTGGTCAATTGACATGTGATATGTTGAAGTAGGCCTACATAATCTGTTATTATCTATTCTTAGCTGGATGTTCAGAAAATTTGATGTCCTTTGACCTTATCATTGTTGTCTCTTTACAGTCACCATTTGAGGGAAGAATTTACAACCTGCGAATTTACTGTGGTGAAAACTACCCTGATGAATGCCCAACTTTGAGATTCGTTACTAAAGTCAATTTGAACTGTGTAGATTCTAAAGGAGTGGTAAGTGTTACCACTGATTTTGTCATGTTCCGAAAATTACCAGGGTGGTCATTGAACTTAAGATTGAAAGTCAAGGTGTTCCTGTCATAACCCTTGCAGGGGTGGAAATAATCCATTGCCCGACGCCCCAGTCCAGTGTTTTTTCTGTCGGGCAATCAAATTTGTATAAAACACTGTACCGGTGTCCAGTTGACTTTCCAATGTTAATTATGTTGTTTATTTAAAAAATCAACAAGAAAATCGGCCAGTATAGTGGAAAAATTATCAGGGCAAGTGATTTTACATTTGCCACTGTACCGAGTTCAGGAACAATTTTAAAGTTATTTCCACCCTTGCCTTATATAAACATTTTACAGATTTTTCATGTTCTAGGCCCTGTGCAATTGCTAGTCACCAAGAAACCAGGTCTTAGCAGCTAAAATTTGTTTAAGTATATGGTGCAGTGAGTGGTCTAAGATGCTGCACCACTTTGGTAGAATGCAAAATTAGGGGTGTCCTGTTTCTGTGGGGGCGGTGATGTAGCCTAGTGGGTTAAGGGTTTGCTTGTCACAGCGAAGACCTGGGTTTGATTGCCCACATGGGTAACAATGTGTGAAACCCATTTCTGGTGTCCCCCGTTGTTAAACTGCAATGAAACAACATGTGTATCAACAGGAAGTATCCTTGATCGCCTGGGGCGGTGGGGTAGCCTGGTGGATAAAGTGTTCGCTCGTTACGCCGAACACCTGGGTTCGTTTTCCCCACATGGGTGTTTCTGGTGTTTCCCGCCGTGATATTGCTGGAATATTGCTAGAAGTGGCGTAAAACAAAACTCTCTCACTCCTCAGGGCTCGATTTAGTGCCTTGTTACTTGCACTGGTGCAACCCAATATTACAAAGTGCAACCTAGTTATTAGTCTAACTTGCACCAGATGCATGTCAATTTTGAGTGGGTAAACTTCTGAATAGAAATCTAAATAATTTAGCATATGTCTTTCATTACATATTGCAATGAAAGCAGTGCAACTGGAATTTGGCTGGTGCAACTATCTTTTTATCTTAGGTTGCACGTAGGTTAACATCTCTTAAATCGAGCCCTGCTCCTTGATCGTAGTATTAATCAGTGTCTGTTTTGTTTGCACAGTGTCATGATCACGTCCTGTTATTACCAACATGAGTTTTATGGTAGGGTTTACGAATACAATTGATTATTGATTGATTACTGAGCTCCGATCTGCACATTGTGAGCGATAACCAGCACTATCTGCATTACTCTCCATAAGTGATAAGACTGAAGTACTGTTCCAAGCATTGAATACACAATGCCATTTGGAAAGTAGTCAAATGTAACATTTTATATTTGGGATTACACTTTCTCAGTAAAGTACAGATTCTAGTACTTTTGATCGGTCCCATTTGGGATTTGAACCCACACTATCAGAGTCAGGCACCTAAATTGTTTATTCATAGCTTTTGGCCATTAGAGCCGTCTCAATTTACACTTATGAGAGAGGTACACAAAGTTTGTGGTCTAGACTACCATTTGGTCAACCGCCATTTTTGTGGAATCCGCTATGGCTGAGTGGGTTGGACAGCTGACTTTGCTGGCAATTAGGTCCCTGACTCTGAGGGTGTGGGTTTGAGTAGATGCATGTCATTATATCCCAAATGCATAGACTAATGCTCATGATGTCAGTCACTGGATTGTCTGATCCAGATTTGATTATTTACAGACCGAAATCATATGGCAGCAAACTTGCAAAATTTAGCCTTAAACAACAAACATTTGGGTAGCGCTGTAAAATCAACATCAGCCTAGACCAGCATAAGTAGTCACCTGCTTTAATGTTCCTAAATAAGTGCAACAGTCCTCAACACAATGTCAAGACCTATCCAGCTCCCCACCTTCGTAGATCAGCAGTGAAACAAAATCACTCCATTAATCAATGTACTGAATGTGTTGAACATTCATGATTTCATTTGGACTTATTTTATGTCTTTATTTCCAGGTTGATCTAAAAAAGCTTGAGGACTGTAAACACAATGGGCGATTCTGCCTTAAAACGATACTGCTTTCTTTACGGAGACTGATGTCATCTAAGGACAACTGTAAACACTCACAGCCCTCGGAAGGATGCACCTACAACTAACCAGAGACAATATGACGGTTCACTTTGCAGTGTTTCTCTTGACATCGCGCAACATCTCAGCATCATCTTTTCCCGAAAAGGTTGATGTGGGTCATTTTATGGGTGTAACAATATTGTTTGAGATGCAGTTGTCGGGTTAAGCTGTCGCACGTAAGGATAGATATTTGAGCATGGCACCCTGTACCTGTCACTATTGACATATCACATTGCCAAGATGTAGAGAATTGATTGACGATGGAACACAAAGGGAATAACGATTCTTTGTAAAAGATTTTGTGTAGCCATGTTTCCCATGTCATGTGTAAATTTCTGATGAACACTTTGCTTTTGTATTTGTCATTAACTTTATTGTTATGTGCTCATAGCTTTTCCTTTCTGAATAATATTGTGAGAGGTGTTATTTTTGGACTTTTAGATTTTTACTGTACATAGTATATGTCCATCTGTTTCTAAGGATGGCTTCCTTTCAAATCCATGGCCATGTACATTCTATGGTTTCTTTGTTCAAGAACAGAATCTCTTCTGTAAAATAACAACTGGTTAGTCCTACTTCAGAAAACTGAGCCAATTAACTTTCGTCTATTTGTACAATTTCCTGTATTTATTCAATATCCACATGGGAGGTATGTGTCCATTTTCGAAGCTAGTTCCTCGGTGTACTAAATAAAAGCTTCTCACCTTAATAGTGTTGTACATGTAGAAAGTCATCATAAGACTTCTGATGTCTCACACATGGGCACTACATGTTCAATCCTTGTGTTGTTTTGTTTGAGTTGGTTCAGTTACACAACTGGGCTCTGTCTTGTGTTTTACATCACCTCAGTTCCGAGGGTTTGCCACATGTCACGTGACAAAGATTGTTTGATTTCTCAAGTTCGATATCGGACCTCCAGAGAAGGTTCTCAGCAGTCATGGGTCCGTTTCGGTACTAGATATTCCAGATTGTGTGTTACCTCTGTTACGCCTTAGCCATTTGTTTGTATTTTTCTCTTTCACGTGTTCTGTTTGGAATTAATGTCAATGATTGTCACATTTCAGTCTTGATTCTCTTTGAAGACCTGTTCAATATAACCACGGTTTACCAAAGATGCTTATTTCACACGTGTAGAAGGCCAGTGATGCACTCAGGATTCTTTGTACATGTCTTTAGTATTATCTTTCGTTGTCAGTCTTTTCAATCTTTCATCTGTCCTTTAGATGTTTGCTCTTTCTCTTGAGTGCATCACTGAAAAGTACAAAATATTCTGTTGGGCACCACTGCGTCACCCGCAAAGTCCTTGGGCATTTGTCTGTTTCTTAACTTGGTTCTTTTACGAAACGTGTTAGTGGTAATTAAGTGTTAGCCAGTTTATTGCCTAGATATACACAACAGTGCCAAAGCACTTTATAAAGGGCATTACACCAGGAAGACAAGTGTCTTATGCCCTAATTTTGGACCCTGGATATGACAGGTTAAAATTTGTTCCTGAAACCTTGGATTGGCATGTGATCACACTCCGTGATTAAGTCCATTGTGTGTAAGCTGAAAGCAAATGGGTGCCCATCTGATCCAGACTTGTTTACAAGCCTCCACCATATAGCTGGAATATTGCTGAGTGTGGTGTAAACAGAAATCGTGGCACTGTCAGTTTCAGCATGTTGGTAATTCAGTACTATTGTTGTGTGCTGGAACAGTAATACTAATGTAAATCATTGTCTACTTGACAAATACCCTTGGAGTTTGAGGGTGCCATGTGTTAAGATCATATCGATATACATTGTATTTAACTTGTAATGCCCATGTAATTTGCATGTAACCAATATTTCCACTTAGTGATGCTTCAGCTCTGTGAATAAGTAATCTGGAACATGTGAAATTTCAGTATTGTTGGTACGCATTGAGGGGTTAGAAATGTCGCTGAATGGGTGATCAAAATTATATTTAATTGGATCCAGGCTATGCAGAATGGTCAATTTCTGAAGAAAACAAACGGTCACATAATTGTCAAATTTATTGTTCTTAAAACATATTTTTTTAAATTTTCTTAATTGACAAATTTCAAATCAGGTATTTAAATCAGTGCTATTTTCATGAGCTTACTCGGGAGAAAAAAACAACAGTGACCATAGATCATTGAGCAAAATTCCACTTGCTTTTCAGACGTATAATGAAAACTATTCTTGTAGCTCATTATAAACTTTTCTTGAGGTATATTGTACAGTGAATGTGGACAAGGATGAAGGTGGAATTTTGCTGATAATGCTGTGCTTCTGTAGACAATAGATCAGGATGATGATGATGATATGTATGATGACCTTTGTAAATTTGGACAATTTCAAATACACTTTCCCAAATAAAGCATTTGTTTCAATAAATTGTTTGTGTGGACTGTTATCTTTGCGAAGACAACTTTCGAAAACGTTGCAGGGAGGGTGTACGTTAAGCGTGGAAACAAAACTTGAGTTGTGTATGTGTCAGGGTTGTTACGATCACATTTGTATTGGTTAATTTTCTCTGAGCATGAAGATCGGAAAATATTGAAGGTCAATTATGTTAATCCTGAATGAACGTTGACCTCGTCAAACAGGATTATGTGTGTGTTCTTCTGCCAATCAAATGTCAGATTTCTGTAACGATTTGGACTTTATAAATGGGATGGCGTCTAAACAATAATAATATTGATAATAATAAGGACTTGCCCCACGGGAAGGCACAAAATCCGGCCAATAATATGTCGGTCAAACCATCTAAAAACATCAATCAAACTTGAGCAAAAGTGACAAGATGGTATGAAATCCACACAGATATGGAGAATTGCTTAAATGCACTGGGAAAATGCCTACATGCCTGCAGCAAAATCTCAGACCAACTCTGGTGCGTTAAAATGCGCATGCACAGTGAGCCAGTTGAACCCATAACTGGAGCCCATCGATGACATTGGTATGAGTAGAATGCTCGAGTGGCAGCCAGAAAAGACGTCCTCATCAGTCTTTCTCTTTCCTCCTTTGGAAAAAAGATCAACTGGCTCAGAGCCAACTCGCCCCTAAATGTCCAAACTCCTTTTCAGTTGCAGATCTTTCTGAAAATCCTGTCTATATTTTGTTTGTTTTTCAGAAAAACAGGCCAATTAAACACTTTAAAGCTGAATGTGTCTTTTCCAAACCAGGAAATTCATTTATTAAATCAAAATATTTCTTTGAAACCTTCTGCAGACTGTTCATTACAAGTTAATGGATCTGGGTATGCTGCTGCTTGAACTCAAGGGAACTTCTCACAGTTTCCAAAGAAAGCATCTGCTCAGAAGAGGGATGTGTAACAAGGATGTTTCTGTTTTGTGCAACAAACATCTGACTTCATATCTTTAAAATACAGTGAGTTATGTTACAGGAAGTTAAAACAAACTGGTAGCCTTGTGCTCTTATCAAGCTGAAGACCAGGGCCTAGATTTTCGAAGCTCTCTTAGCGCTAAGATAGTCGTAAGTTATTGTTAATGTATGGTACTTACGACTCTCTTAGAGCTAAGAGAGCTTCGAAAATCTAGGCCCAGGGTTCAATTCCTACATGGGATATTTCTGGTATCCCGAGCTGTAATATTGCTGGAATATTGGTAAAAGTGGCTTAACTAAACATACTCCCTTGCTCACTCCAAGAACTAAAGGAATTGAGAAATGTGTGGATGATATTTATTTACATCATTAAATGAGGATGATACAAAATGACTTGGTCTGTTCAAGGCAACATCATGAGGAGTCCAACTCCATCTTCCTGTTCTGCTACACTCGCTTCTTCTTTGCCTGTTTAAACGTAAGAAGATATCGTAGACACAACACATTACCACATGAAGAGAGTATGATGTCAACTTTAATGGCATTCCACTTGTGTCATTGTGTCAGTTTAATTTGGGAGGAAACACAAAAGTATTTGATGCAGGTCTTAGCTGTAGAGGGCGGTGCGGTAGCCTAGTGGTTAAAGTGTTGGCTCAGCATGCCGAAGACCCGGGTTCGAATCCCCACATGGGTACAATGTGTGAAGCCCATTTCTGGTGTCTCCTGCCGTGATGTTGCTGGAATATTGCTAAAAGCGGCGTAAAACCAAACTCAGACAGTCTTAGCTGTATGCTTATAGAGCTGGCAAATGTAGAAACCAGGATCTGAACATGCTATCACTGAATTCTGGTATGCCCAAGGAAAACAACTCTTGAACAATAGTTGAACAATATTCTTATGATCCCACTGGGTTTGAACAACATTCTTATGTTTCACGATGGCAGTTGTCAGTTATCAGTAAAGCATCAAGTGACATGAAAGAAATTTCCCATTTCGGCGAAACCATTAAGGATGGTCTTGGTACAGACAAACCTAGAAATATGATTAGGGCCAATCAAGGATTTGAACTCAGCACTTCAATTTCCAGCTCCCTGTACTAATGAGCCATCTAGGCCGCTTCAGGGTGTTATATTTGAGGGAGCATGAAAAACCTAAACTTGTCTACAAATAACACTGTCACCTCACTTTCTGACGGGTAAGCCAACCCTTCAATACTGGCCCTTTTCGCCTTGCAATTATTTCCTTATGGTAAGATGATAATCGAAGGTTGTCATTTTATACATCTATTTCAACTGTGGCTATATCATGAAATTGAATACATCATACTAAAGTAGACTGTTTATAACGATAATGCTATATAATACGACGGATAAAACTTCCTAAATTTGGGGAGGGAACAGTTAATGTATGTTTATTGAAAATGCTTATAATGAACTACAGGTTTGGCTACACTTAGAGGTCCCTTTGAATTCATTAAGAAATGTATTTTACTGTTTGACAAATTAACTTCACAAAACTGACTTCTTCTTATTTTGTTTCAAACAAAGTGTACTTACTGACAAATTTAGACCAGAGCTGCTCCCAAAGTCTTTGAAGGAATCTGATTTTGTTTTCCTGAAATCACAAGCATGTAAGTAGTCATTCTTTTGAATGCAGTCGGAAACATTTATCTCAAAATCAACTCACCTGAAAAAAAAACCCATCACATTTTAAAGACATGCCATTCCGCTTGGTGAGGTGAGGTGAGGTGAGGTGAAATTGGGTTTTTACGTCGTGCTTGAGAATATTTTGCTCATATGACGACGTGCATGTGTGTGTATGTGTATGTGCGGCTGCTTGTACTAGCCCAGACTGAAGCTGGTTTTATAGTGCTAGCCCACTGAGATACCATGCCGCAGTGAAGCATGAATACCCCACTCAGACACATTATACTGACTCCGAGCCGACCAGTCCTTGTTGTACCCATAATGCCGAGAGCCAGGCAGGGACCAACAAGTACCATATTTTAACGTCTTTTGGTATGACGCGGTCGGGGATCGAACCCGCGACCTTCCGCTCTCCGGGCGGACGCTCTAACCACTACACAACAGAGGCGGCTCCGCTTGGTGAAATGGATAACACAAAAACAAACTGTAACAGACACTAAAAATATAATTGACCACCTAAAGATGACAGCCATGTTCGAAAATATACTAGTGTAAAAGGAATTCAGAGACAATTGCCTGGATTTTACAAAATATATTTAAGATTTGTAAACCCAGTGGGTTCAGAGACATCTAATATTCAGCTAATTATGGATTCACACCAGGTAAATTATAATCGATGTGGAAATCCATTCCGCTTGTCTCGATATAGTGCAAGTAACTACAGTGGAAACTGTCAAACCCAGCAGCTGTCTAATGCGGCAACTTGTCAACACCGGCATAAAATCTCAGTCTCTCCAATACTAGTACATTTATCACCATATAAAAGCTCTGCAACCCGGCAGCTGTCAATTCCGGATCTCGGCATGAAATGTGCCACCCGAATATGTGTTTATACAGTAATCAGTGCTGTCGTGGCGAGGAGTCTGACTGATGTGTATTGTCGCCAATTAATCCTACATTGAAACTACATGGTTGCCGACAAAGATAATTTAATATTAGTTCAGTAGGGTATACTTGTACATGTTAACCGCCTCCGTGGTGTAGTGGTTAGAGCGTCCGCCTGGAGAGCGGAAGGTCACGGGTTCGATCCCCGACCGCGTCATACCAAAAGACGTTAAACTATGGTACTTGTTGGCCCCTGCCTGGCGCTCGGCATTAATGGGTACAACAAGGACTGGTCGGCTCGGAGTCAGTATAATGTGTCTGAGTGGGGTATTCATGCTTCACTGCGGCATGGTATCTCAGTGGGCTAGCACTATAAAACCAGCTTCAGTCTGGGCTAGTACAAGCAGCCGCACATACACATACACACGCATGCACGTCGTCATATGAGCAAAATATTCTTAAGCACGACGATAATCCCAATTACACCTCACCTCACCTCACCTATTAGCTCAAATCTTTGTCTTTTATTGTCAATATGTGCAGTAATTGAGAGAACACATGATACATTATATACGCCCGTGCATTAATTAAGCACCGTCCTATTTTGAAAATAAGATGTAATGCTACAGCTTTATCCACTGACAGTTTTACAAATACCATAACCTTTTCTATTCTTAATGAAAGAGTATGTTGATGAAAATGTGATGGGACTGAATTTTTACCCAAAATAACAATTCCTCTCCTGCTCAAACTACACAAGTTTTGACTAAAAATAAGAATTCTGTTATATACCAAGATGACATTTACACATCAAGTAAGCTTGAATTATGCATAATCAGGAAGAACCTGAATGTCAAAGTTTCAGACCTTTTTCCACCAATTCCGATTGCTAATTGACAAAAACTGAAAAAGGCCACATTAATAAGATTTTGGAATAATTTTTTTATGATTTTGAGTTTATTGTAATGAATAAATACTTCCCCTTGCCGGATACTGATAATTGCAGCTAAAATCTGTTTTGTTTGTAAAGCAAAATTTACTGCATTTTAAAAATGTTCTTTTTTTAGTTTGACTGTAACTTTTCCTGAATCTTAGTTTACAAACTTTCATCCATTCACAATAAATAATAACGAATTTATAGGCCACACAACAATCAATTATTACTTTCACTTTTCAAAATAAGGTAACTTGTTTTAGGACAGAAAAACACCTGTTTAAAATATAGGAAATTATCCTAATTAAAATACATGGTAATTTCAATGATGCTTTCATTTTTTGAAATGTTAAAGGTCACATGCAACCCAAAAATCAAACATAATTAAAACACAATTATCACTTCTTCATGACATATAATATGCATTGCTGATTATGAAAAAACAAATAAACAAAATTATAAGCGTATAATCGCAAATCAAAAGTGCAATATTGTGTACTTGGGTTTACCTCCCTCGAAACGAAGCAGCCGGGATTCCGAACCCAGTCAGAGCGGGTGGGTGTGCACTCAAGTGTAACGGCTGGTTCATTTGCAGATGCCTCCTTCACGGCTCATTGTGTGTGTATATATAGAAAGTTGGGTTTTGTAAATACATTGTACATGCTCATTTTTTTGTGTATAACATTTTGCAATCAACAGACATCATAACATGTCATGTGTTCAAGTATCACACCTGCCTGTCTGTGTAATTACATAATGTGACAGAAACCGAACTCGGGCCATAAATCAATGCGTTTTGTTTATGGTGTATAGCCTGATTGGTGTTAAGTTCAAATTGCATGTGGTCAGTGATCGCAGTTGTGTATTGAATATTGTCATTAGCAGACAGGCAGGCTGACACACAGGTGTCAATAAAACAAGACATTGAGTTTTGTCTGTGACAGCGACATATCTATATCACAGTTAGAAATTGTGTCAACTCTAAATAATGACATTGCTTTTAAGTATCGAACTGAGAAAGTGACTCGGTAAGAAGAACGTGTGGTGAAATAGACAAATGAAATTATATAAACAGTTTATTTACTGTCATAACATACAAAAGCTCAGCGCCTGTGAGATATCAACAAAACATTATGAAAATAGCTCACACCAAAGCCTCCACCTAGTATTCACCAGACAGCCCGCTTCCAAGTTGCGCGAACCTATTTCACTGCGCACGTGCTATGAGCGCAGCCCAGCTGTTGAAACCCGTATTCCCCAGAAAAGTCTGGGGAAAATTAGTGAAATGTTTGAACTCCGATTTCGCGCATTTTTTTTCATTGCGTTATTTTTCAACTTTATAAGTTGAATTTGCATTTTTGACGCTTTGTTTCGGTAAGTCCATACCGAAAGGTATCAGAATCTGCAAAGTTGTGTTTTACGTTGCATGTGACCTTTAAATGCTTGCTCTATCAAAGGTTATTTTTTGGAAAGAGCTTAGAATTTCATTTCAGACAAAAATTAATTGGTAAAAATACAGGGTGGTGCTTATTTTATGCATAGATGTATAGATGAGAGTGACAAAACTGGTTCAGTTCTAGTCATAGGTAACCGTGTCAGCTCTACAATCCAGCACGCTGGATTATTTCTTCAGACCCGACGAGTGCAGGTTTAGACAGTTTCCACCGTACTACCGTCTGAAAATGTATGACTTCTGTAAACATGTAATCCGATGATACCATTTCTCTTCCAACAGAGGGTACGTAAGTCCCAAAACATTTAGTCAATTTAAGTGTACCAGGTTTTTAATCGTAGTATTTTTGTGTTTTTAATGTATGGCTAAATCTCAGTATAATGCCAATGGCTGAAGGGATGGTGTAAATCCAGCTAGGGTCCATGCAGGTAGCAAAGGCACTGTAAGTCCTCATGGTCCCTAGTATGGTGATCTACCTTCAGTTGTTGGCGATTACTGGCCCATTTTTACATTGTATTGCCCAAAAATAGTTTTCTACTTTTAAAGTTAAATGCTAGCTAGTTTTAACTCATTTTGTGATAATCTAGTGGTTTTACTGTTCTTCGTTGACAGGGTTTTATATATTATCTGTATGTATTATTAATTTAGAACTAGTTTTAGTCACGATATGGCTGAAATATTGCCGATGTGACTTTAAATTTTAACTCACTTACTCACTCTCTTCCAACACATGTAGTACTCTCACGAGTCTGACGCTGGGCTACTTACTGGTCATCCTTCGATGCGTCTTGTGTGGTTTTCCTCTTGAGGCGATGATGGGGGAAGGATGGCATGAACTCGGGGTCGCACGCTTCAAACAGACGATGAAAATATCAAATGACATCACTTACATCAGTGTATGAAATAAGCCAAAAACCCAGCCAGACATCAGGGCTGGTAACTTCAAAATGTTACCAGTGCGAAATGAATTTAACCAGACCAGACACCAAGATATGGTGAATTTACTCAGATGTATAGAACATCTAAAAAAATTTACCAGACCATCAGACTGGTTAGCTGTGTAAATCTAGACCATCCGTCGGAAATCTAGCCCGTCTCGGGTGGTCGGACGGGCCTTATTTCGTACACTGCTTACATCTGGACAGGCAATTAGGTGTACTTTTGAAGGTGAAGAAACTAGTTATTGTTGTTTACTTGGACTGCAAGAAATCCACTTCTTGAGTTGAGTTTTGAATTATGAATATTGGGTAACAGATACGAAGATTGGGAAAGAAATAAAATAACAACTTAGCAGTTCATATATACTGAAAGGCAAAAGAAACATCGTAATAATTGAAAATACATTAAGTATCAATGGAGTATTTGAACCTATTTTTTTTTAGATATACAACGGAAGTCAAGTTTGAGGAAAACATGAATCGTGGTCATATAGCCTGTTTTGCCCAATAAAGTATTGTTTGAGATTGAGGTTAGAAATGTTTTTGTTTGTGGAAAGGGAAGAGTTTGCAAAAACACAACATTGAAATCGAGATGCACGTGCATCATGCATGCATTCAGGCATAAACTACCGGTTTGAATGGCAATCGTTCACTTGTTTTCTGAACACAGCAGCTATACCTAAACAATACCTTAATGGGCAAAACAGGCTATACGACCACGATTCTTGTTTTCCTCAAACTTGACTTCCGGTGTATAGTTTAAAAAAAATATAGGTTCAAATACTCCATTGATACTTAAATGTCATTGACCCATGAAGATCCGGGGTAGAATAGGTCTTCAGCAACCCATGCTTGCCACAAAAGGCGACTATGCTTGTCGTAAGAGGCGACTAACGGGATCTGGTGGTCAGGCTCGCTGACTTGGTTGAAACATGTCATCGTATCCCAATTGCGCAGATCGATGCTCATGCTGTTGATCACTGGATTGTATTTGCAGACCGCCGCCATCAAGCTGGAATATTGCTGAGTGCGGCGTAAAACTAAACTCACTTAAATGTCATTTCCAATATTACGACGTTTCTTTTGCCTTTCAGTATATTTTTTATTATATTCAGTGAAACAAGATCAAAATTAATATTTTCACATGTTTGTTAACAGTGGTAGTTTATCAATTATGGTGCTTGGCCCGGAAATATTGCATATAATAACTAACACTCAAATTCAACGAAAAATACCTCCTTTTATCAAAAAAGGTCTTGCATATCTGACTCTAGTGATCATGAATAACGAATTGAATTCATGAAAGTTTATGGTTTGAATTACGGTACAGGAGAGAATCGTGACAGCCTACTGCTAACAAAGTGAACAAGATGATTTGGGATGATACAGACAATCTCTTTCTCGAGTCTTAAGGCATCACATTTATCAACACTCGTCAATAACAAAATTCTGATGCTTGATATGTTTAAGATTAGAGTGAGTGAGTTTAGTTTTACGCCACACTCAGCAATATTCCAGCTATATGGCGGCGGTCTGTAAATAATCGAGTCTGGACCAGTCAATCCAGTGATCTACAGCATGAGCATCGATCTGCGCAATTGGGAACTGATGACGTGTCAACCAAGTCAGCGAGTCTGACCACCGTTCCCATTAGTCGCCTCTTACGACAAGCATAGTCGCCTTTTGTGGCAAGCATGGGTTGCTGAAGACCTATTCTACCCCGGATCTTCATGGGTCGTTTAAGATTAGAAGACACTCCCGAGAGATTCCACAAAAATACATACGATGTGGTTGTTCCTTGAAGTAGGAGCTGTCAAGGCAGTCTTCGGCAGTGGCCCTGGAAGTAGCAATAATATGTAACTACATTATTAAGCGAAATGTGATTCATCTGGACTCTGCCATGATTACACAATGCCATTTAGAAAGTGGTCAAATGTAACGCATGTTATATTTGGGATTACACTTTCTTAGTAGAGTACAGATTCTAGTACTTTTGTTGGGTTGAGTCCCATCCGGGATTCTAACCCACACCTTCAAAGTCAGGCACCTAATCGCCAGCCCACAAAGTCAGCCGCCTAACCCACTCAGCCACCGCGACTCTGCCATGTTACCAAATGTCATGGAGCCAAATTATTTGAAACTGCTTTGTGCACCTATATCAAGATACCAGCTATGTCCAATGTTCGTATCAAGACAAACACTCACCAGATATTAATGTGAATATATTCCTTCTATACTACAGTAATCACAATATGTACGAGGGTAAGGTTTTGATGAAACAGATTGTCTACGGCTTGATATTTTATCACTAATCCTCCTCAATGTAAACAATTATATCGAGCACCACTGTGTCGAACTCTGATAACTCGATATCTCGGTTGTCTCGATATAACATCTCGGTCCCGACAAAATCCTTCATAATTTATCATTATTCAAGCTCTTTTAACTCGATACGGATGTATCGATATTTCGGATATCTCGATATAATTTCATGGTTCCAACAAGCAAAATTACCCTTTTAACTTGATATTTGCAAAGAAACTTGATATTTAGAGGGTTGAGAAAGGGGCCCGACTTATAGTCACATTCGACTTATAGTCGGTCATATACAGTACCTTTCATGGACAAGTACCCCACTGAACTGAGGTTGTTTCCACATGTTTACACATGGTGCGGCATGAATCAAAGGGATGCGGTAGTGTAAACTAATTAGGGCTAATTGAGTTGAAGGTGTCACTTGTTTGTTATTTAATTAGGATTAATTAAGAAGGAATTAATTAGGAAGTACTCACTGGTACGGCAAAACACTACTGATGACAGATTATAGTTTCGAATCAAAACATACTGAGAAGTGTTTTGTTTTCTCCTTAGTGATGTGTGATGATATGCCCTGGTGGGAAGTCTCGAAGTTCGGATAACATGATATTTTTTCTTGGTCCCATGAATACATGAATATCGAGACAACGGTGCCCGACTATATCCATAAACCCTCCATCTAAATCTGAGACAAGTGACTATTAATTGAGTAGCCAGATCTACTAAACAAAACTAGTTCAATTTCAGGTCCATATATTTTCTTTTCCAAATTTGAGATATACCAGTATTTCATTTCTCATATATCAATTATCTAATATCGTGGAGGGCCACATGTATTCCTAAGGCCCCACCGTCCTGCCTAAAACAGGACCTACACAAATCGTGACCGTGATTCCCCAGAACTCATGAGTAGACAGAGTCCAGTAACTATCTAGTGTCAAGTCACACATCCTCGGCAATATTGTGGTAAACATGATTCAAGTTTAAAGCTTATATTGTATAGATACACAGGAGTTGGATTTGTCTGGAAACAAAAGGGTACGGTAGGTCTCCTAAAGCAAGCATACTGAAGACTTACCTCTTGGCTGGGTCAAACATGAACAGAAAGTTGAGTAGTCTGATGCCAGAGTCGGACAGCCAGGGGAATGTGTGTCGCAGATTGTTGTACCTGAAATCAGTATGGTCTCGTAGAGATTTGTTGTTCATTGTTTAACCAACACTAATATAAGCTAAATGCTGTGGCCTGTAAAAAACCAAGCCTGGACAAGACAAACTAGTGGTTAATATTAAGAGCATAAATATGGAGTCGGGTTACAACGACCTGCAAATAACCTAGTCTCCCACCATAATAACTGCCAATATGTTAAGACGTGACAGGATATGTGTAATATGACAATTTATTTCATATACAATTTTCTACAATGATGACATATTTACAAATGTTTTTTTTTTCAGTCTGTGTCTCATAAGAAACAAATGTCAGAGTTTCTGTGACTTGTTGAGATATTTATGATTTCTGAGTGTGTATTTGCTTCTAAACCAGTCCTTATTACAACATAAAATACTTTGGCTGCAAATTCGTAATGATACTACATTTTTGTTTAAAGAGTCAGTCCTTCAGGCTTGGTAATTAACCCTGTGAAGATCCGGGTTAGAATTGATCTTCAGCAACCGATGTTTGTTGCAACAGGCCAATAACAGGATCGGGTGGTCAGGCTCGCTCACCTGGTTGATGCGTAAATTGTATCCCAATTGCTTTGTAGTCACTGGAATGTCTGGTCCAGACAAGATAATTGATAGATCGGGGGCGTGGTGGGCGAGCTGGCTAAAGTGCCAGGCTAGTGACCCAACAAGCTTGAGGTGTCAGGATCAAGCCTACTTGTGACTGGGTGTAAAAAACCTTGGAGTCAACTTTGTGTGCAGACTCTTTCAGTGTTGTCACAACCCCTAGTGTACAGTACACAACCCTGTGCACTTAAAAGAACCCACGTATCCGTTGGTATATGACCAGATGGTGGCCACATGTATACTTGCAAACACCTGGTTGCGGGTACAGCAACGTGCAGTAAACTTGGACAAAGTACTGTGACTATGTGTCCCAGCCCACCCAGCTGTCATCCTTACCTTGCTAGGATGCGAAAGCCTTAAAACTCGGTGCGCCTAGTGGCTGCAAGAGTTGTATGCTCCCTGGCGAGTTGAGATTGATAATACGATGTGCCGTTGAGATTGACATCCAATGATTGAGGGAAATACCAGCGCCTTGAGAATGTACTAGTTACGTGGGTATGTGCGCTATATAAATATAGCATCAGGTGAAAGATAAAAGAACAATTTTTTCCAAAATTTATCTACTTTTTCCAACACTTACGGTTGTTTTCGTAGTGTAATATTTTCCAAAGCTGGCAATTCTGAAAATCCCTGAAAAAAAAGAAGAAGATTAGTTTTAATGCATAAAAAATGTCATAATTCTGCACTGCATAATTTCCTTAAATGCTCTCTGAATATTGGTAAATAGACAAATAATTCTTGACCTTGAACCTCAAATTTGAGACCAACTAAGTTGATGTCTTGTGGCCACAATGAAATGGACTTTGACTGACTGACTGACTGAGTTTGGTTTTATGACGCTTTTAGCAATATTCCAGCAACATCATGGCGGGGGACACCAGAAATGGGCTTCACAGATTGTACCTATGTGGGGATTCGAACGCTTTAACCATTAGGCTACCCCTCCGCCCCTGGACTTTGACCTGACAGAGATTGAACATGATGAAAAAGTGATTGAACTTTATCTGTAATAAAGCATACGACTTTATTGATAACAACTCGTTTATTGCAAGTTTCTTGTTTACTGCAATGTATTGGCGTTGATTCTTACACCGATATCAAGCTATCAGTGTTATTAATTCTACTCACAGGCCAGATTGCGTCTGTGGGTGTACCGAACATCTCCACAATGAGGTCAATCTGCTGGATCTCTGATCTCCCAGGAAGTAGAGGTCGGTGGGCCAGCAACTCCCCAAATATACACCCGGCAGACCTACACAGAAACATGTGGAAATATTTAGATCAGTAAAACAGATAAATGAAAATGATTCATCAGACCTGTCACGTGCTTAGCCAAATAATTCAAAGGTCACAAGTCAGTTAATGAGTCAATGAGTTGATGATGCCTCTCCTTGTATGACTCCTCTGGTCTGCCAAGCCAAGTGACATTGTCTGGACCGTTCACCCTCTGTTCACCCTGCAGTTAGTGGGTACCCGGTAGAATCAGATGGGAAAAAAATCTTGGATTCTAATTGTCCAGTTTGGGTTGTACTGTTTGATGGGATCGGATTTAAGAGAATAATAACAAACAAACTTCAGATATGCAACAAGTAACAATTTGTGTAACTGTGAATGCATGAACATCAAGCTTATTAGTTAATTTCATGTCATGTGATGTCAACTTTATCAACACCAAAGCCATGACATCATATTGACAGTATTTTTACGAGCACAACTTAGATTGATAATAAAACATCTTGCTTGGCTTTTCTACACACAGTGTTCTGTTTGTATTCCAAAGAGTTGTTTGAGGGGGTAGCCTAATGGTTGAAGCATTTGCTCAATACACCAAAGACATGGGTTCAATGCCCCAGATGGGTACAATGTGTGAGGCTCATTTCTGGTGTTCCCCGCCGTGATATTGCTGGAATATTGCCCAAAAGCAGGGAAAACATTAAACTCACTCACCCATTCATAATGACAAATAATTCCAGATATACAATAACAATAGTCATGCATTTATCATTACTCTGACTGACTCCATGCCAGCTAAACCAGAGGTTGATAGAATGAACACCAATCCACCCCATCAGGTCACAGTGACATACATTTAGCAGGGAAAGAAACCTTTCAAAACTTCCCACTAGACCACAGGACCAGTGAGTAGACAATAATTAGTGGTCCTGTCTGTTCAAAATAACATTCATAGATTTACTGAACTATCATACAAAATTCACTGGCCATAAGGACCACACCAAACTTACCATTTAGTGGTTCTGATGAGTTTTTACTAGCCAGGGACCACAGTGTAAATTTCGCACACTTTTTAAAGTTGGATGTTACATATCAGAAATGGGGTTTTGGGGGAGGGTTACTCACCACATGTCGATAGCCGATGTGTGAATCTGTGACCCCAACAGCAACTCCGGTCCTCGGTACCTGGTGACAAACGACCTGATGGTAAATGCCAAGATATATTGTTGCAAAGTAACAAGTTAAGTCGTAGAAATTATCACACACACACCACAATAGTCAACACATTTATTCTACATCTATTTATAATTATAATAAATGGATATTTCTTGTGCGCCATAGTCCATCCAGAGCATGCTCAAAGAGCTACATATAAGTACAATATACAATCAAATACAATATACAATCAATTACAAGCAATATGAGTGATTGAGTGAGTGAATATTTTTCAACACCATATCAGCAGTTTTGTGCATTTTTTGCAGCAAACTGACAATTGGCCATTGAGATGGTGAGGTGAGGTGAAATTGGGTTTAACGTCGTGCTTGAGAATATTTTGCTTATATGACGAAAACACACCAACTCTTTTTCACCCCAACACACAAACTGCTCCACAGTGTAATTACATCAAAATATTATTACATAGTATCATATACATATATACAACACAGAATCCAAAGAATCAAAGGATACTAACAAATCTCAAGCAGCAAAAACAAAAGCAATAGTGATTTGAGCACAAAGGGAGATAACTCAGTGATTTCATACTGTGCAGACCACAAGGAAATATGACCCCAAAATATAACTCTACAGCCATATTAATATAAAAAACAACAAAGTTTCCAATTTGAGGCAAACTGATGTAAGTGTTGGAATTATGTGACCTTTGATCTCTAATTCAACCAAATTTTGAACCTTTTCATCAGGGATTATGCAAAACCCAAATTTGATATAACTTACATTCAGCTAGAATACTACATAACCATGGTAACAGCAGATAAGAACCACTATACAAGCTCTACGTCTATGATGAGTTGAAATACTGAGAAAATTATACAGCAGTATGTTGAATCTGATTGAGGAAATGTAAATGCATCCAAACTAGAAATAGAGTTAGTTGTCAGAAAAGTTGACTGAACGAGCATGACCACAAGACATATCATGCTAGGTTAGCTATAAAACGAATATAGAGATGACATTTTTTAAACCAAGGTATAGTGCTGAATGGGTCCAGGGTATTTATCATAATTCAATGGCAACATGATACCCTAGACTATCGAGGATGAGTCCAGTCTGACACTACATACCACAGAGTCACAACCCTGGGGGTCATGGGTCTCACAGGGAGGCTGTGTTTCCTTGCCAGACCAAAATCAGCTGAAACAGAAAGAAAATGATATTAGTAAATTGGTCATATAATATACCACCAATAGTATTTAATATTGACAATACAACATCCATCTGGTAAACAAAGCAAAGACTTCAGAACTTGAGGAAAAAAACAGATTGCTGAGCAGTGTGAGAAAACCAAGATGGCAAGCGACACCGAAGTGGCTTTGATCATTTAGTTCAGAAGTAAAACATCCTGGAGGGTTATCAGGGAGTCTGTGACGACATCGCCATGGTGACCTTCTGTATCCGACCCTGCATTGAATAGCTGTCAGTGTCCATCTGCATACAGTCGAACCCCGTTTACTCAGACCCCCTATATCCGGAAACCCCGCCTTCCGGACGATTTTTAGGTGAAACGAAACTTGCCTTCATTAATTGTACTCACTTAGCCGGACCCTGCGCTTCCGGACCCGCACGGAGAAGTTTCAAACCATTCCCATAGATTTCCATTTAAAAATGATCCAGTTATCCGGACGGAAAGATCTGGACGCCTCACTATCCGGACGATTTCCGAGTGTAACCAAAATGTCCGGATAAACGGGGTTCGACTGTATATCAACATGAGAGACCTGTGAAGATCTGGGTAAGAATCGTCTTCAGTAACCCCTGCTTGTCATAATAGGTGATTGACGGGATCGGGTGGTCAGGCTCGCTGACTTGGTTCACACATGCCATGGTATCCGAATTGTGCAGATTAATGCTCATGCTGTTGATCACTGGATTGTCTGGTCCAGACTCAATTATTTACATACTGCTGCCATATAGCTGGGATATTGCTGAGTGCGGCATTAAACAACAAACAAACAAACATGTACATCATGAAGATGGAGATATTTCCTGACTTACCAACTTTGAGGCATCCTTTATCTGTCATCAGTAGATTGGATACTTTCAGATCCCTGTAACACACAAGTCTACATCAGCTGCATCAACATGGACAGTACCGACTCTGGTAACTGATGAATGAAGTCCCCAGGGTGAGTGAGTGAGATGAGTATAGCACTGCTTTAGACAGTAGTCAAGTTACATGATGCAATGGAAAATTCAACTGTTATACATAAATAACAACTTTCATATATTGACACAAGGCTTTCCCTGAAGTGTGAGTGCTTCTGTAATCCTCCTTCCTCGCTTCCTCCCACCGTCCCTTTATCTTTCTCTCTCTCCCTCCCTCCCTAGACGATAATCAAAATATTTTGAAAGCAGATGACCAATAATACAATTTAGACCAGGATGTCATTATACAAAGCGATCTTAGAGCTAAGATGCAGGGGTGGAAATAACCCATTGCCCGACGTCCGAGTCCAGTGTTTTTTCTGTTGGGCAAGCAAATTTGCATATCGTGCTGTACCAGTGTCCAGTTGACTTTCCAATGTTAATTATGCTGTTTATTTAATAAATCAACAAGAAAATAGGCCGGTATAGTGGAAAAATTATCAGGGCAAGTGATTTTACATGTGCCACTGTACCGGAGTACACTAGCAATTTTAAAGTTATTTCCACCCCTGAGATGATTAACATACACTTACAACTGTCATGAGGTTGCTCTTTAAAACGGCACCAAGCCTTTCAAATATTATATATGAGAATTTATTCACGCCATCAGGGACTCTGACCACCATATAGCCATGTCTGATCACACAACCCAGTCTCCTACAACAACCAGCACAGACTGCTGGGCCCATTGTAACCCAAACTCCCCATGGGTGGTTGAGAGTTTTTGCTTACCTGTGAATAATGAAGTTTTCATGAAGATACCTCAAAGCCTTGAACACTTGAATAATGATGCACTTCACCTGGAAAATAACATTGCCATAAATAGAACTTATCCAAAGGCAAACCAAACATATACAATAGTCACTGATACGGACAAACTTTATGGATGAACAACTTCTTTATTCAGGTGATACACCAACTTCTAAATATGCCACTCAAAGAAATAGTCACTGTATTTACAGCTTGTTCAGCTTGACCTGAGCTACTCTACATATGCATGACCCGGGAGGTCAAATGGCACAAACGGCAGGTCAAGTTAACTTCATTAAATAGGGGAGCAAAGAATGTTATTAATGTTGCTGCTCGCTGCTTAAAAGCTCGAATCGGAAACAATAAAGCGTCTTTTTAAAAGAAAGTTAGGACATTGCTGACGATTTCTCGACACTGAGGCGTCAAACGGCGACCTTGTCTCGACTGTTCGGACATGTTGGCAATCAATGCACCCCTTCACAATAATAGACCCAACCAGTTGTGACACGGTCATGCAATGCATTAGTATTCACTTGATCAGGTCAAGCTGAACAAGCTGTAGTGCCCTGGCCAAACAAGCAAGTTTCTAGATCAATCTGTAATATCCATAAGCTCCCTATACCTGAAAAAGGATGGAGCAATAAACATACGGGATAGATAACTCACCCCAAAACAAACTTTACATATGCCATATTCACTGTATTAAGAGTCCTGCTCCAATAAACATGATAAACGCCTCTTAACTAACTTCTGAAATGTTTATTTAAGTACCCTATACACTGACTGAAAATTTACCTGACAATCCAAGAAGACATCTCCATAAAAGATCTGATTTCATTCGTAAGAGACGACTTACGGGATCGGTATGTCAGACTTGCTGACTTGGTTGACACATGTCATCATATCCCAATTACGTAGAACGATGCTCATGCTGTTGATCACTGGATTGTCTGGTCCAGACTCAATTATTTACAGACCTCTGCCATGTAGCTGGAATATTGCTGAGTGTGGCATAAAACTAAACTCACTCTGATTTCATTCAGATTTAATGATGAACAATCTGACTGACTAAAATCAAGGTTGTAAGAAAGTTTGTTCAGATCTGCCTTGCTGGCGACACGGTGTTACATACCTGGGATTCAGAGAATGGGGCAGCCATATTGTCCAGTAGTGAAGCCAGGTCTTGTTCACAGTATTCCATCACAAGGAAGATGCTGAAATATGGCCAGATAGAGAACACCAGTAAAGATGTGGTCTAAGGAACATCATGTCCTTTAAGGGGCGATGGGGTAGCCCGACTGAGGTTAGTGGTTAAAGCATTCCTTGTTTCGCTACAGGCTTGTGTATCATGACTGACTGAGTTTGGTTTTACGCCGCTTTTAGCAATATTCCAGCAATATCACGGCGGGGGACACCAGAAATGGGCTTCACTCATTGTACCCATGTGGGGATTCGAACCCGGTTCTTCAGTGTGACGAGCCAACGCTTTAACCACTAGACTACCCCAACGCCCCTTGTGTATAATGCCCCACATGGGTACAATGTGTCAAGCTCATTTCCGGTGTCCATTGCTAGTGGAATATTGCTATGGTATGGTCTTACATACATGAATCTAAGAACCGTTTAATGCCGAACTCAGCAATATTCATGCTAAATGGAAGCGGTCTGTAAATAATCCAGTCTGGACCAGACAAACCAGTGATCAACAGCATGAGCATTGACATATGCAAATGGGTTACAAAGATATGTTTCAATCAATCACCCGATCCCATTAGTAGCCTCTTATGACAAGCATGGGTAACTGTAGATAAATTCTAACCATGAAGTACAAAAACCATTAGATGTGACATGACCAGTATGTGACATCACATCAAACACAACGTCATGACAACCGGACATGCTTTCCATCACACCTGGGTGTCCAGTCAACTGTAATATCACGTAGTGACTCAGTACCTGTCAAGGCTCTTGCCGACCACCACTTCCTTCAGCTCAACAATGTTCTCATGTCGTAGGTTCAGCAGGATATTGATCTCTCTCAAACCACTGATTGGGATGCCTGAAAATGAAGCTACTGTTATACCAGGACAAAACTACTTCCTGCACCATGTAGTACCGGTACTGGTTAACCTGTATTAAATATTTTCTGCTTTGACCAGTATTTCAACATTTTACAGTATGTCAGTTTAACCTTTAGAATACTGCATTAATTTCAGCATTAGGCGTTGTAAAGAGGGTGGGTAATTTCAAACAGTTGGTAAGGCCAGACCAATTTTATTTCTTGTTTTACAGATATTTGTCGTCAGAAAACCTAAAGGCAGGAGGGATTTTTTTTTTTTAAATCACCAGTCAAAGTAATATTCCTTTTAAATACTAAAAACATTTTACTTTTGTCAATTTATGAAGCGTATATGGGTAAAAAAACAACCCAAACATTTTTTAGGTAAGTTTACATTTTTGGTCAATAAAAACATTAGGATTTTATTTTTTGAAAGGGCAAAATTAATTTTTAGTTGTTTTCTTATTTTGAAAAAATACGACCGGCGGATCTGTAAAACAAGAAATATAATTGGTCTGGCCTAAATAGTTATTGCAAGTTATATTTAGGGATGTCATTATGCTACTGCTCTGTCAAATGGGTTTGACAGCAGCATTGAGAGGATTAATGATGGTGGAAACCTAAGTGAAAGTCACAAGCAAGGTGTGGTGCTCACAAACCAAGTGAGTGAGTGAGTTTAGTTTTACGCCGCACTCAGCAGTATTCCAGCTATATGGCAGAGGTCTGTAAATAATCGAGTCTGGACCAGACAATCCAGTGATCAACAGCATGAACATTGAGCTAAGCAATTGGGATCAGATGACATGTGACAGAGATCAATTCTAACCCGGATCTTCATGGGTCCACAAACTAAGGATCATTAGTAATGTGAATCTGAACTGTGTACCCATGATCATTAAATTCTGGTACAACTAAGGAGCGCAACTCTGTACGAATGTACATACTGTGCCTCTTGATCAATTTGATGGCACACATTTTACTTGCACAAATTACAACCAGATACATATTTTTAAGAAAACGAAAAAGGTATCAGCAATAAATATTTTTTAATTGATTTTATTTATTTATTTTTAAATAATTAACCTCACATTGCATTTGTTAACTTTGTATTTATTTATGTTGTATACAACTATACCCTGCAGCTTCCCAAGAAATTGTCCAGAACAAGTATTTGAATTGGTTCAGTATATTTTTATAAGATGCATCAATACTGTATAAAATCATTCGATGCAAAAACAAAAGCAGAACATCTGGAGACATGTTTTGACATATCCAGACCTACTCTGTGGAACAGTCTGCCATTCAGCCTGAGGTCACATCATGAACTGTCAGCGTTCAAAGCAAATCTAAAGACCTATTTCTTCGGAAAGGCATACAATGTTCCTCAAGAGGAACCCTTAACAAGTTTTTCAACAGCTCTACAAATATTTTTATAGACAAACAGACAGATAGAAAGAAAGCTCTTTGAGCGTGCATTGATGTGTGGAAAAGCGCTATATAAATGGAACTATAATTATTATGATAGATAGATAGATAGATAGATAGATAGATAGATAGATAGATAGATAGATAGATAGATAGATAGATAGATAGATTTGAGCACAAGATTGGCAAATACTTACCATCTTTTTCTTTCTCCATTCTCATTTTCTTCAATGCCACAATTCTGTTACTTCTAGTATCTCTGGCCCGATCTGGGTGCCACAAAAGTTGGAATGAAGAAATTAATGAACAGAAAAGCAAAGACAATTTTATACATTCTAACTTCTGTGTTTTGAACTTCAGGGTATGGTTATTGACCTGAGGTCTGAAACTTTAATCTGAAATTTAGGCATAGGCATACATATATATACATAATACAGAGATAATGCAAACATCAAAACAAAATCAATTTTTGCTTTCCACCATTACAAAACTAAACCCCAACCACTGGTGTTAGTGAAACAAATGATTAAGGTGGCATTGTAAATAATCATTGGCCTTACATATTTCAAACAAAGTATGTTGCTCATTACAAAAGATGTACAGTCAAATCCCGATGAGTCGAATCGCTGGGGACCAAGTAATAAATTCGACTTATCGATGTATTCGAGACATAGGTATGTCTATGAGGGTAGAAAAAAAGATGATCCAGTCCTAATTCCTCCGCCTAAGCATTTGTTTACCTAATGATTTCCATATCACTAATAGGGACACCTTATCAGTTCCAGTCTGACTAGCACAGACAGTGATTTCCGTATAATCACTAATCTGCCTTTTGAACTCAACTGTCAATGGCGGAAAGGTGTGAGCCACGCTGGTTTGTTAATTGGATCAGTTTGCTACACCAATCAACTTCTCATTGACTGACTTCAGCTTATGTATACAATATTGCTGTGGTTTGAATCTCATGGGACCAAATTTTCTTCTCGAGTCATCGTGTGTATTTATGAGACGAATTCGTGTAACCGGTATTCAAATGATGACAGCTATAATAGGGAATGGTTGGGACCGACAGGTATTTCGAGTTATGCATAATATTCGAGACACCGGCATTCGACTCATTGGGATTTGACTGTATGTGTATTTTGGATCTTAATTAGTTGTGTTCAATAATGAAGTATATTCTGAATTCTGGGTCCTTTTGAAACTTGCCAAAAATGTTTTCCTCACCATCAACATATTTTTATTTAATTCATCGGTCATAACAATGAGAACACTCTGTAAACATACAAACGATGCCATAGGTGCCTTCTCCCACACGATTCAGCTTTTCAAAGTCGGTGACAGGTCGAGACTTCCCAAGCTGAAACAAAGGAACAGGTTCATATTTAATGAGTGAGTGAGTGAATGTACTTTAACGCCGCTTTTAGCAATATTCCAGCAATATCACTGCGGGGGACACCAGAAATGGGCTTCACACATTGCACCCATGCGGGGAATCAAGCCCGGGTATTCGGCGTGACGAGCGCACGCTTTAACCACTAGGTTACCCCACCTCTCGTATGTAAATGAAATGCCACAAATTATTTGAATGACTGAGTGATGTACTGGTCTATATTCCTCTGGTGATGTTACCACAGTACTGAGGTATCGAGATCTACTACAGTTAATAGTAGGGTGGTGTCCAGATATGCCTATCTCACATGAAACTACACTTAAAGGGCCACTTATCCAGAGAGATATGTTTCTCGCCAACAGTATAATTACGAAACCAAGCTGCAGGCTGGTCGGTACCTGCTCGCTCAACCGTGACGGGCACGGGGACTGGACTACTGTCCACCTTGGCAGAATTTCTTCAACCTAAACAGTGGGATATTTGGAAGTGTGGATGCCCGTTATTTCAAAATATTCCCAGTACTTATTGTTTGACTGTAATAAAGAATCCGAGCAATGTAAACATTTTCAGATTTTCTAATGCCTGGATGGTATAAAGACTGATCCAATTTGATCCTAATTCTGTGCTTTTTACCTCGATATTCCATCATGTCATGTAAAAATATGATGTTTATTACCTATGCTATGATATTAAAAACACACATTTGATGTATTTGAATCCGTAAACTAAACAACCCCACCTTGCCATTGCTAGAAAAATCTTAAAATTTAGTTAGGTAAATAGGTATATACAGCAAATGCGTATATGTATTTCTTACGCAAAAATGCAGTTCCGTTCGTATCCTCACAACAGTGTCGGCCTATAAGTTTTTTGTCAATCTATCAAAATTGTATGCAATACAGCGATTACTAATCCCTTTCTGTAACCCGTGTTTGGTGGTATACCTACACATTATTTGTCATCATTCACTTGATGGTCAGTTAATGAATTTATAACATGCATAATTAGTGGTAACACCCTCAGATTACCCGACAAAGGTTCCCATTTGGCATTTCTCGTGTCTGGAGTAAATACTCATCTTTATAAATTGAGGTCTGATGTGGCTAATGTATTACATCTTATGTAATATGCACATGGTAGTGCAGCAAGAGGAATTATCAGCTGAGTTTCAAAAACAAACATCGATCAAAGGTATAACCGATAACACGCTGATTGATTATTTGCCTTTATCTTGCACAGTGGATTTGTCAAAAGGTAGTGTTTATGTATGTAGATTTACTAATCTATACTGAATACACCCTGTCGTAGAGTGCCTCTGTAAAAACAACATCCTTCCTTCAAAGGATTATTTGCCAATACATTGATTGATTACTCATTATTGGCTAACTAAATTACTTCGTTAAAGAATGGCGGACATCATGCAATTAGTTGCCAGACTCTACTCTACACCAACGTGAAAAATCTGCAACGTTATATCACTTTTTCGCATATTAGACTGTTACAAGACACATGACATGGAGCAGGATTCTTTGTCAGGTGAAGGTGAATGGCATGTCTTTCCTTTATGTGGATATTAATGGATATATTCCTCGAACAAGGTAGGATAGCCTGACATTGTTGCTGTAACTTTAGTCTGTTTTCATTTTAATATTTGCATTTTGTTTTATGTTGTAGCATCATACAGAATCATTTTTTTCGCTGTGAAGTGTAGTGAGACAGACAACATATACTAGGTTGCATTTGGGGCGTGTGTGTGAAATAATACATAATCAACGTTGGCAATCTGTAAAATGTCTATATATTACAGTCATGTTATAAATTCACAATAAGTATAAGCAGATCGTGTGCATTTTATTAGGTTTCAAAATGCATACAAATATGATAATAAACTAATTAGGATTCTAAGACAAAATATAAAGACGTACATTGACTTCGTTATTTTTCTGTCCTAACATTTTTCACCACTGGCAGATGGTTAAACTTCAAAATGTTTTCATTTGTTATCAAATTAATGAAGATGGAAACATTATCGAGTAAAAGAGATTTCCTCTTTGTTGATCAATCTATGCTTATACTATCAATTGCACTTGCAGGTAGCGCAGCAGAAGTCACGAACCAGTCAAGAATTCTTGGATATCATCCGGTTACACATGGGAGAAAAACAATAACAAAAGCAACAACCAGTCCACGGAAATTGCTGTGGATCAGTGGCCCTTTAAGTCATGATACCCCACTGATAGTCAATCACGTCAGCAACTCTGACCACCTTATCCCGTTTGTCATCGCATACAACAAACATGGGTTGCTGAAGACCAACTCTAACACTGATCTTCACCGGTTAGAGAAAATACCAGTTGTTTATTCTTTCCAACAGTCATTACATATTTTATTGCAAACATTGAGTGTTGATGAAGCATCTGAAACTCCAACCATTTCAGATCATAATACCATCCCAGATAGCATTCATCCGTTGGCCCAACGTCTTAATGCTATCTGGGATGGTACCCAATGGGTGGCTTTTATAAGGTTCCATGGAAGACTGATATTCCGTCACACCTCTAGAGCTTACCCTGGCAGCATCAGATAACTCCATCCATTCTCCTGTCAAGATGGAGTACAAGGCTGGCTTCTCTTGACTCGTGCTCCTTCTATATGAACCTTCGGACATGATTTCTCATGAAGATCTAGGCCTAACTTTCGTCTGTTTGATTTCTAGATTACTCCATGGCATCGTTGAAACATTTCTCCCCTTGCAGAAAATATAAAGAATGAATAAATATATGGTTGACTCAGACAAGTCACGTTAGTAAAATATTTTCACATTACTCGATACAGTTATTAAAATGCTTCTTTCGATACAGTTAAAATGCTTCTTTTTGAACCTTGAGCCAAAAGATGCACCTGAAACCTGAAACGAACATAGTCACTGCAAGTGTAATTTGATAAACAGACACATACCGATATTAAACAACTTTGGTAAGTGTAAAAGTACCTTTATCGTACATAGACTACTAACTCTTTTATGATAGGAGATTGTAAAGTTAAAATCCGGGCAAATACTACATTGTCTTTACTCACATGCAGAGAATCATAACTTCTTGTGACCAGATATGAAACTCTCTGGTACTTGATAAAGACTTATGTAAATTGCTACATTATTGAGGAAACAGAACGGCGTATTGGATGCACATATTGGTGTTAATTTTCACCTCCCGGTAATAACAATCCGTGAAAACATTCGGTCAACAAAATGGCGTCAAGGTTGTGGAGATCCTTGCGACCTATCGCAACAACTTTGATACGGAATCATGGTAAATAGTTTGAATGCTTCTTTTCGTCATGTTCTCATCTCCTTTGTCTACAGCTAGCAGAGAAATAGTTGCAATGCATGAATCGTATTATTTATTCATTTATTTATTAGGCTTCATGCAACTACTATGAACTAGAGTCAGCGTTGAGCATTTTCAATTTTGCGGTGTTAAGAGATGTCATTTTGTAATACCAATGAAACAGTTACAATCATTATTTTCCACAAAACCTGCACTCACTCTGTCCATATATTTGGGGGGAAGAGTTGCACGTGACCCGTAACCCCCGCTTGAATTGTATTATGTTTATTAAGATATTTAAGGTTAGGTTTAGGGTTTAGGGTTAGTGATTGGGTTGGTCCTTAGGGTTAGTTTTTTTATAACAAATATCAATTCTTCGCCATAGAATGCTACTATGAGTACTGCACTTTACCGGGCGCACTTTTTCAGATTAATTAGCGCTGCTGGAGCTCGAACGCTCTTCAGCGGATTAGTGACTTCGTTAATTAGTGATGTAATTGGCAGACGCTCTACCTCGGGACCACGAGCACCATCACAGTTAATGAGTGCTCGTTTAACGGGTCATTTGCACAGAAGTGAGGCGGAAGCACGAGAAATGAAACAAACCATTTTGGTGTTTGTTTACATTTCTCGCACTTCCGCCTCACTGTGCCACGCCCTTCCCATTCATTTTTTTTTCGCGCCTATGTTTCTTGGACTGGACTGACAAGTACCGGATGGATCGAAAAGTGTTTAATTGGATATAATAGGATTATACTGCCCTAAGGTAAAGTCAAACCCTAAATAAGAATTTGGAAAGGGTCCCTAACCCTACTCCTCTCCCAACCATAACCCTAAGGATCGGAAAGGGTGCCATACCCTAACCCCTAACCCTAAGGATCGGAAAGGGTGCTAACCTATAGTAAACCATAAGGATCGTAAAGGTTCCCAAACCCTAACCCCTAACCTAACCCTAAGGATCGTAAAGGGCGCCTAACCCCAGGGATTGGGATAGAGAACTTTGACAATGGGCCATTTTCAGGATTATGAGCCATTTTCTGAAGTTAGAATGGGCGGCGGCCCTTCTTTCAATAGTAAACTTCAAAATTTAATGGGCCATGTTTTATTCTAATGTGCAAAATGGCCCATGGCCCCTGCCTTTCCCAATCCCTGCTAACCCTAAACCCTAAGTTGCAAGTGAAGGGAGACGGAGCAATTACCACGATATAGCAAGACAGCGCTTGGGACAGCGTGATAATTGCCCCGCAGCATGCAGCGAGGGCTGCGCCCGGTAAAGTGCATTCTACTGAAAACCCAATAAAACCGAGGTTTACAGACGGAAATCTTTCTGGCAAAGATGCCAATGAATAACATACCTTCAAACTCCCAGTACTTTAAGAGCTTGCCATGCCTTGAAATCTAGTGTTGCACCTGGACCTCATAAACCTTTGTTTCTAAGCCTTCAAAAGGGCTGTTCGCATTGCATGCTCCACTTGAGCAGAAGAATACATGATATACCTGACAACCACATTAACAGTGATACTGGTATGTTTTCAGCCATCTCCCGACCAGCGGTTGTAGCATCTTCACGATGGATGAGTAGTGACGTCAAAGAAACAAGTCGTAAGTGAATATTGTGATTTCTCTTACCATTTATACCTGCCATATAAGTATAAGATTATGTGCAGAACATTGTTGAAGATTTTCACACAGATGACAGTGAATGTTCCAGAGCTGTAGATATTATTAAGTCCTGAATCATGTACAGTAGAAACCGCCTAAGTAAAGACCGCTTAACTAAACAGACCTGATAAGTAAACACTTTTCTTTGATCCCGGCAACTTTCTTCATTAATTATCACTATTAGAGTCTGGTTAACTAAACTCGGATAAAGAAACAGTACCGCTGAACTAAACGTCTTCTCACGGTCCATGGAAGTAAATTACTTAACAAAAGAGACTGGATAACTAAATCACCACATAATCCGACATGAGGGGCAGTCGTGTCAGTCTCCAGTCAAACAAACATCCTACTTACAGCTCGCTGGCGTCAAGCAGTTGACAATACACTGCCAGCCCTGATGTTGTTCATTGTTACATATGCATACATATACATGCATATGGTTGTCATTTGCAGGTTTTTATAAGTTTGGATATGTAAAATACCTGATAAGTAAACAATTTTGGCAAGTCCCTTGAAATTTTACTTATCAGGTTTCCACTGTATGTATAAACATTTAACATGTTTAAAGCAGAAAGTTTAGGGTTTATTGAGCTTCAATTTTCTTGTGCCAGGACTTGTGACAGTAGATTTGTTTCAATTTGGAAAATCAATATCTGAATCATCATGTTTAACCCTACAATCTTCCATCACTTATGGTAGAGAATTGTCTCCTTATAAGTGGACCTGTTCGAATTCTATATCTGATTTAAACTTACAATCTTCCATCACTTATGGTAGAGAATTGTCTCCTTATAAGTGGACCTGTTCGAATTCTATATCTGATTTAAACTTATAATCTTCCTTCACTTATGGTAGAGAATTGTCTCCTTATAAGTGGACCTGTTCGAATTCTATATCTGATTTAAACTTACAATCTTCCATCACTTATGGTAGAGTATTGTCTCCTTATAAGTGGACCTGTTCGAATTCTATATCTGATTTAAACTTATAATCTTCCTTCACTTATGGTAGAGAATTGTCTCCTTATAAGTGGACCTGTTCGAATTCTATATCTGATTTAAACTTACAATCTTCCATCACTTATGGTAGAGAATTGTCTCCTTATAAGTGGACCTGTTCAATTCTATATCTGATTTAAACTTACAATCTTCCATCACTTATGGTAGAGTATTGTCTCCTTATAAGTGGACCTGTTCGAATTCTATATCTGATTTAAACTTACAATCTTCCATCACTTATGGTAGAGTATTGTCTCCTTATAAGTGGACCTGTTCGAATTCTATATCTGATTTAAACTTACAATCTTCCATCACTTATGGTAGAGTATTGTCTCCTTATAAGGGGACCTGTTCAACCCATTTCATTCATCTCAGGTTTGACTAGAAAAAATTACACGTAACATAACAGTGTGGATGTTGCTCACAGTCAGTTATCTGTCAGTCTAACAATCTGAAGGACAGGGCTTTGACATCCCTTCACCCTTATATAGCACTTTCAAATGTTTCATGTCTCTGGACCCCAGTGAGTCTTCTACACATGGGTGAGGTGAGGGAAAATGGGGTTTAACTTTAACGTCGTACTTGAGAATATTTCGCTTATATGACAATGTGCATGTGTGTGTATGTGTGGCTGCTTGTACTAGCCCAGACTTAAGCTGGTTTTATTGTGCTAACTCACTGAGATACCAGGCCACAGTTACTCAGAAACATTATACTGACTCCGAGCCAACTAGTCATTGTTGTACCCATCAATGCCGAGCGCCAGGCAGGAATCAACAAGGACCATAATATTTTAACATTGTTTGGTAAGACACGGCTGGGAATCGACCCAACGACTTTCGGCTCTCCGGGCGAACACTCTAACAACTACACCACAGAACATTGAACACTGTGAACATTGTAAATACTGATGTTCACCATGTGCATTTACCAAGGGACATCACTCCCAACAATTTAATAAAAAATCTTAAATTAGGCTTGTGGACCTAAAAACAGGAAAAATCCAGATTTTAGGCCAGTTTTTCATTGGCATAAATAAAAGAAATAGTGGTAGGTAATTATGCATTATCATGATAGCTGTTCGCAAAATAATGTTAATATCAAATCTGCATTTTCCATGAGAAGATCCCATTCATCATATGATCTATTTCTGCAGCCACTGCTTATGTTTTATGACTGAAGAATATATATATATGTTGTTTCCACAGCTACGATACGTCCGACAAACGCTGTGGTTCAGCAACACTTGAAGGACTTCGGTCAGTGTGTTGCTGAATGTATTCCCAAGTATGTCCAGCGAGTGGAAGTGACCAACGGGGATGAGCTGGACATCATGATCCACCCGGAAGGGGTTATCCCTGTCCTCACCTTCCTCCGGGACCACACCAACGCACAGTACCTAAACATCGCAGACGTTGCTGGCATGGACGTTCCCACGAGAGAGTACAGGTTCGAGGTAGGTCCAGCACTCGTATGCACCAACCTTCTCTGCATTTACTGCCTTAGAAATTGTATTTTTTATATTTTAAGACTTGTGTTAATCTTACTGTACTGGGCCCTGTCCATGAAAGTGATTGTAGCACTAAAACTGTCGTAACTCCAAAACTGTAACATAGGCTCACGACATGTGCATTTACTGCCTTAGAAATTTTATTTTTATATATTTTAAGACTTGTGTTAACCTTACTGTACTGGGCCCTGTCCATGAAAGTGATTGTAGCACTAAAACTCGTAACTCCAATATTTTTCCTTATCCTGACTCATGCTCTTTTGCTTGTCTTCTTCTTCTTGCGAACATAGTGGAACACTTGTATCTCCTTATTTGAAGCTCCCTTCAAAATAAAATCACTAATTGGTACTCACCACGAGTTGCTCCCCTTTGTCTCCCCTGGCGGGAAAAGGTGTCGCCACCCTCTGGCCATGTGCTTCACTCTCTCCTTCTTCGCCCAGTGAGCAGGATGTGAGAGCGCCTTGTGTCTCCTTACACACATATCCTTTGATAATCTCTTAGTTTTTACCTCTCATAGGTTACTATAGAGGTATAGCTAGTATCCTTTACTATTTGTATTGATTAATTATCGTATTTCTACTGTTTATTCACGTGTATTCGTGATTGTTCAGCTAGCTTTACGTTCATGAAAATCTGTACGATTTGTAGATTACGTTTTTCTGCCTCCGATCCACATGTAATATGCCCTAGTTGTTCTCTGCCGTGTCGCGTTTAATTCACGTTGCAGTTACTGCATTAATTTATCTCATTCTGCATTTAATAAATATCATCTTTGCGTCTTAAGACGTGCTGCAGATAGATCACGCAAACAAGGGCAAAACATGGCAGAGAGTCCAGATATTCCTTCCAGTCAGCTGCTAGCGATCGACCCTCTCCCGCCTGGTGTTCTGCTAGAGACCCCGCGGCAGAGGAACGTGGGGACTTGAGTCCGTTACCTCGAAGAAACGACCGCCTCCCCAGACATCCCGCCATTGCAGACTAAGTCTAAGAGGGCTCATCATCGCCGCCTCAACGCAGATTGAGGACACCAGGGCAGCGCAGACTTCCAAAGGGAAATCTCGAAGACAGCAAGAACTTTTCAGCCGAGATCGCTCCAGCAGCAGAGTTGGGCCTCTACGATGATCAGCCGATAATCATCCCGACTTACGGCAGAAGAAGCGACCGGTGTCAGCGACTGTGACTTCTGCAGAGATCTCCATGCAGCTTGATGCCTCTACACCGACGCCAGACGCCATTGATGTGAACCCCATCGCAGAAAAGACGCCGACGACTTCGCTACAGATCATCCCAGAAGACATGATGCGGCAGATTATGAACATCATGGAGGACCACTACAAACCGCGCAAAGCAGGGTCCGAAGCCAGCGAAGGCTCCAACGTAGACAGCACCCCAGAGGCACCCCCCGTCAACGTAGCAGCCAAGACGATGTCACCTTCGCGAAGGAAGTCCCGCACCACCTTGACGAAGGACCTAGATGTACAGCCTTCGCGAAGGCCTTCGCGAAGGCGGGAGAGATCATCACCATCTTCGATTTCATCTCTAGATATGGACTCAGACCATCAGACATCACGGAAGCCTTCGCGAAGGTCATATCATCGATCCCTGGACCGGACGCTTAAATGAAGCTTCGCGAAGGCATTCGCGAAGGACATATGATTCCAGATCTTCATCGTCTAGAAGAACATCGAGGGACTGCCGAAGAGCTTCGCGAAGCTATCAACATTCACCTCACAAGTCTCCGAGAAGATCATCCCATAGACGATCTCCACTCCGTTCATCACCAGGTCGATCACCCATCAGATCTCCACATAGAGCGGCGCACAAGTCAACTAGATCGCCACAAACCTCATCAGATATACAGACAGCTACACGCAGTCCCGAAGAGCATCTACAATTTATTAATGATGATGGTTTTGAGGATGATGGAGGAATCATATTTTCTGATGCAGAGATACTGTATTGGATGGTCAATAACCTAGATCTCACATCACCATCTAAAAGTGGCAATACAGCTCAGACGTATTTGATGAAGGAAGATGATCCAGATGCAATCACTCTACCCCCGATCGACCCGATTGCGGCAGTGCCACAGAATCTAGATGCAGCTTTCCAGAAAGCTACGAAAGTTCAGATACCACATCTACCCAACTTTCAAGCCAAGAAGTTCTCCACGCATAACATGGACTCCTTCTACAAGGCCCAGGACATCGATGAGAACTAGAAGATCATCAGCGATGTAAAGAACAAGATTTACAAGATGGATGATCGCAAGTTGGCTCATATAGAAACCATGACGAGACGTATGTTCTTTGGGTTAAATAGATCTAGGACGATCAATGAGACTCTTATTACTAGATTCCGGGATTCCACGACGGAAGATGATAGAATGATTTATTCTGCCTTACTTATGCAAAAGAAAGATCAGCAGTTTTTAACGGATCATCTTACATCTGTTTCAGCAGCACTGACCTTAGCTCGTCGTCAAGGCCTCCTCGCCTCCTGTAATTGGGGGGAGAACTTTACAGCCCCACTTTATACAGCCCCGTGGTCGACAACATCCATCTTTGACGGAGAAATCGACAAGGTCGCCAAGGAAGTCTCTAAGGATTCCAGGGAAGTCCTTATGATTAGATCGATGGACACACTAGCCAGCCGCCATTCGTCAGACTTCACAAAGATACTCAGGCAGATCTAAGTTCACGGGCCTACAAAGAGCAAGAGACAGGAAGATAGCCAGCTCTAGAGGTAAAGATTCTTTTTCAGCCCATATGGCAACTATAGAGGGGATCAGGAAGAGGCAGGACACCCAGAGGTTCCCGCAATTATAGACGCTGAAACACAGGTTCGGAACGACTGGAGTCTTCCACCCCCAGCCGTTCCAGTACAACCAGCTCAAGTGGGTGGACGCCTCCAACTACACTGGGAAAACTGGGGAATACTGCAAGATCCTTACGCCTCCAACATTATTCAACACGGATTTCAGATCCCTCTACAGGACAAGCCTCCGCTGACAATCAAACCCCCAAGTTCGATTTACAAGCTTAAACAACTACCAAAGATAAAAGAGGCTGTCTCATCACTCCTATCCAAACAGGCCATAGAAGTAATAGATCAAGCAAATGTCGAACCAGGTTTCTACTCCCCAGTTTTCCTAGTTCCCAAGAAAACTCCACGGAGAAATACAGACTCATCTACAACATGAGCTTTTTCAACAAGAACTATCTACACGAAACCAATCGAAGTTTCAAGATGATACATTTACCTCAGTTACGCCAGATGATTCGGCCCCTATGGACTACATGGGCAGCATAGATCTACAGGATGCCTACTTGCACATCCCCATTCATCCCGATTCCAGGAAATACCTACGATTTACTCTAGAAGGGCTACATTACCAGTGGAAAGTACTCCCATTCGAATATCATCAGCCCCCTGGCTATTCACGAGGATAACGAAAACCGATTATCAAATTTCTACATCGTCAAGGGCTACACGAGTGCGCTTTTACCTCGACGACGGGATACAAGTAGATCAAGATCCACTGCCTCAAACTACAGTTAAATTACATCATAAAGCTACTAACACAACTAGGTTGGTTAGTAAACTTACGCAAGTCGGACCTAGTACCATCGCAAGACCTACAGTTCCTAGGTATTCGATTCATCACAAATCGCGAACCGTATTATGGTACCAGAAGACCGCTGGCTCAAGATACAACAGACCATTCCACCAGCTCTACTCTCTCCGCTACCACTGCGACAATGGCAGAGCCTACTAGGTCTTCTCACATCAGCCCAAGACATGACTGTCACAGGCAGATTACAGTTACGCCCCCTACAGGTCCTCATCAACGACATCTCAACGATGTACAACCATTCAGTCTACCAAAACATCTCAGACCACATCTACTATGGTGGACCAAGAAATCGAATGTCTCATGGAAGGGATTTGTTTAGCAGAGCAGGAATACAAAACCCATCTGTATGTAGATCGCTGTTACTCCAAGGTTGGGGAGCTCATCTCACCAACCACACGATATCAGGGTTATGGAATCAGCAAGAATGCAAACTCCATATAAACAGTCTAGAAATGAAAGCTGTAATCAACGCCATTCTACATTGGAGCACATTTCTACAAAATGCGCCTAATGATCCATACAGACAATTCGACAGTGGCGTTCTACATAAACAAGCAAGGCTCAACGAGATCGATGAACCTTTTGAACCTAAGCTTTCAACTGTTCGATTTAATACAAGATCTAAATCTACATGTCAGAGCAGTGCACATTCCCGAGCCAGAAATATACTAGCAGACGCCTTCTCTCGGCCTCATCTACCATCACCGACAGAGTGGATGATCAACCGGAAATTTTGCACAGATAATCAAGCAATTAGGAGCCGCTAATAGACCTATTCGCCACGCGATTCAACAATCAGCTACCGACATTCGTGGTCACCAGTCCCAGATCCCCAAGCTTGGGCAGCAACGGATTTAAGTCTATCATGGAAGGCCTCAATGCGCGACGCTCGCCGCCGCCAGCAATAATACCTCAAGTATTACAGAAAATCAGACAAACACAGAGCCTACAACTCACTTTGGTCGCTCTACTGGTCGGCCAGAACGTGGTTTCCCATACTAATTCAAGAAATCGGTCAACCAACACTGGAGCTACCTGCCGCAAGAAACCTGTTAATTCATCCTCACACCAAACAAGTGCACGGAAAACCAGCAATGTTCCAACTACACGTATGGACTGTATACAAATGTGTTTAAACAAGAGAGGATATTCTGCCAGGGCTGCAAAAGCAGTCACGCTTTGTTTTACGCTACTCAACTCAGAACTTGTGCATCGACAAGTGGCACAGTTTCAAAATTATGCAACAAAGAAAGGGTTTACAGCAAGAGAGGCTTCACAACCTCAAGTGGCAGACTATTTGTGTTACCTACGCCAAAACAAACATTTAAAAGGTTCAACGATATCAACATATCTTGCCGCCGCTTTAGCTCTGTAATCACCATGAGAACGGGTGTCAAATTGACAAGATCTCCAGAGTTACTGGCCTTACTACGAAGCTTCTCGATTGAGGACCAAAAGCGGAAGTTCCACGCCCCAGCTTGGGATCTGAATGTAGTGTTACAACACCTCACGAAAGTGAGGTCTATGAACCCTTGGAATCGACAAACTTTGAATTTCTCTCACAGAAAACATTGTTTCTGCTATCGCTAGCCACAGCAGCAAGAATGTCTGAAATTCACGCTCTGGATTACGAGAGGATACAGTTTGATGACAATCATAACACAGCGCACCTCGGATTAAGATGGGATTTCATTGCAAAGAATCAACTGCCAGGTCAACCAGACAGATTATTCCACATCCCGGCGCTTATCCTCTATTCTCGGATCACAAGATACACAAGACCTATCACTGTGTCCGTAAGAGCCAAAGTTTATTTACGACGATCCAAAACAAGGAGAAGATTTCTCAAACGCTTATTCATCCCATTATCGCCACTTAATCAAACAGAAGTGTCACGGACCACAATATCTATTTGGATAAGGACTGTCATTCTCCCGTGCCTACAAGGCAGCAGGCTTGGACCCACCAACAGCATCAAATCCACATGAGATCAGGGCACTGGCCTCTACCCCGCCTCTACACGGTAACTGTTCCTTGAACACGATTATGGAAGGATGCTATTGGAAATCTAACATGGTATTTGCTAATCACTACCTAAGAGACATCACTACAGAAGATGTCTCTGGCATTCACCATTTCGACCACTGGTCCCTCGCCAGCAACTGACAGTCCCTCAGAGATGCTTAAAATATTAGCCTCACAAGATTAATATGTATTTTATACATACTCATCTAGCTTATAACTCTAAGGAGTTTTAGGGCTATGTATATATGTTCAGCTTAAGTATTCTACCTTAAGCATATACTTGATATAGTCAATTTCAGTGCCTCTATCAGAGTCACCTATATATATATATATATAATTTATATGTATTGTTCAATATATTCATAATGTAATTCCCCTTTAATGGCTTTATATAACCTATGGTTTTTTTATACAGGAAACATCCTAAATCTAAGGCTTCATGAAGTTCCCGTGAGGGGATATTACAGTATATCTATACAAAATCACTAATTATAAATCCAAAGTATTCTGTTACCCACCTCCGTTCCGTGAGGATGCTACAAGCAAAAGAGCATGAGTCAGGATAAGGAAAAATATGTAATTTTTAGAGTAAAATTGATATTTTATACTTATCCTGACTCATGAGGTTAGCCCTCCCATCCTCCCCACATAACACTTTGGATTTCCCTGTAAATTCAAGTGTTGGGCTCGCTAAATCAGGAGAGAGTGGAGCACATGGCCAGAGGGTGGCGACACCTTTTCCCGCCAGGGGAGACAAAGGGGAGCAACTCGTGGTGAGTACCAATTAGTGATTTTATTTTGAAGGGAGCTTCAAATAAGGAGATACAAGTGTTCCACTATGTTCGCAAGAAGAAGAAGACAAGCAAAAGAGCATGAGTCAGGATAAGTATAAAATATCAATTTTACTCTAAAAATTACATACTGTAACATAGGCTCACGACAGCCATAGTACTACGATCACTTGGGGAAATTGGTCCCTGGTTGTCAATGTCATATTTGTGTTTACTCTAAGAAAGGTTTACATTGACGTCAAGCCTTAATTTGTGGGTGTTACTTCAGTAGACCTGTGGTTTAACTGTTCAGTCATCACAGCAAAATCCAGGTTTCAATTCCATACGTGCGTACATATGTGATGCCCATTTCTTGTGTCACTAGCCATGATATTAATGGAATATTACTAAAAGCAATGTAAAACCATACTCACACTCTTGATTTACGGTAGAACCAGCCAATCATATTTGGGTGAAAATCTGTAAAACTGAATGAAAGGCTAACACGATATGATGCTTCGCAGTTCACAGAGTGAGATGAGGTTGATATTATTTAACCTGGACATGTTTGAAGCATTCGTTGTTAGGATAAATGCTGAGTTGGTTTGGTTTCAGATTATATATAACTTGCTGTCACTCCGTTACAATTCCCGTGTGAGAGTGAAGACCTACACAGATGAACTGTCCCCACTCGACTCCTCTTACGAGGTGTACAAAGGCTCAGACTGGTATGAGAGAGAGGTAGGTGTCCACAAAATGTTTCAGAGTAAGGTTTGTAAATATTACCCAAACAACATGCAGTCAGCATGTTAAGGGTAGAATAGTGGGTGTATTAACTTTCCAATATTTGCACTTTCATTTTTGCTTTTAGTGTTGATTGGCCTGGTGAAGCAATCTGGCATCAACTTGCTTCTGTATCGAGACTGGGGCAGTGTGGTAGCGTAGTGGTTATAACTTGCGAACAATATGTGAAATCCATTCTGTGGCCGTATGCACATGTCGGGCGTAGCTAACGTCAGGCGTAACACACTACGTCGGGCTTAGCAGCGCCCTGCTCTTACATGTCATGCACAACATCGGTTAGGATTTACGTCAGGGTGAAGTGTGCTATTTTTAGATTTTCGCACAAATTTCAACCAATGGGAAAAGGCGCGAAACAAATGATCCCGTAGTATTAAACCATAAGGCTGCAAGTACCTGCATTTCCAGGATAAGGGTGGAACTGAGGTACGAGCCATAATCATTATCACCTCTGATTGTATCCACTATCTTGAAAATGTCAATTCTCCTGAATCTAAATCTTCTGTACAGATCAAGGTCGTCGTATATTTCTAAAGGTTTTGACATTTCTCTAAATATACAGTTTCTGTAGAACTGTTGTCTGCGATATCGGTATACAACATTACAGGGATACGCCATACAGGGATACGCCTGCTGAGTAGGTGGCGTAAATATAGAGCGCTACACCTGGCATAACTTTAGCTACATCTAAGATATGCATACCGGCTTGACGTTACGCCCGTGCGCACATTTTACTTACGCCCGGACAAGAATTTACACCCGACATATGCATACGGCCACAGGTGTCCTCCATCATCATATTGCTAGAATATTGCTAAAACGACATAAAACCACCTGATTCACTCACTCACTGCAGCTAAGCCAAGAAGACAAATGAACAGATCTTGATGGGTGGGTTATGTGACATTGAATGCCACTGCACCTGATAGCATGGATTGTGACTCATGATTTCATGGTTTTACTGATCCAGGCTGTCATGTCAGTAGTAACATACTCACTCATTCTCAAACTCATCAATACATGTCAAAACAGCTACCCACTGTAGTGTTAAATGAGTTCAATTTCATGAAGCTTATAGTACATGTATTTCCCACATTTTGCTTTGTGTTGGTACCTCTATGGTTTGTAAAGCAGAAAAGGGCATATTAAAATGATAATATCTCACACCATACATTTCTTCCTTCTTGACCTTCGGACTTGAACTTGAGAACATATTTTAAGGTGTTGGGGTCCAATTTCTGACTTTCAGGTTATTGTAAGCCTGTAAACATTTGTGCTTTTTTCAGATCTGGGATATGTTTGGTGTGTTTTTCGCCAACCATCCTGACCTGAGACGTATCCTCACCGACTATGGTTTTGAAGGCCATCCTTTCAGAAAGGACTTCCCCCCTTTCAGGCTATGTAGAGGTAAGCCATTAATTGTAATCAGAAGGTGGGATATGTCCCTCAAACAATATAAGTGTTGGGAATCAGTTACCATCAGATCTGCAACAGTTTCGTATTATTAGGAAGAGGGCTAAAGTGTCCGCTCGTCACGCCGAAGACCCGGGTTCGAATCCCCACATGCGTACATGTGAAGCCCATTTCTGGTGTCTCCCGCCGTGATGTTGCTGGAATATTGCTAGAAGCGGCGTAAAACAAAACTCAGTCAGTCTTAGCTGTATGCTTATAGAGCTGGCAAATCTAGAAACGAGGATCTGAACATGCTATCACTGAATTCTGGTATGCCCAAGGAAGACAACTCTTATCACATCAAGAGTTGGGAGATATTTCCTGAGTGTGAACAATATTCTTATGTTTCACAATGGCCTCTTCAGGGTGTAGGGGCGGTGGGGTAGCCTAGTGGTTAAAGCGTTGGCTCGTCATGCCGAAAACCCGGGTTGGAATCCCCACATGGGTACAATGTGTGAAGCCCATTGCTGGTGTCCCCGGATATGAAATATCACAGCCTACGGCACTGGACAGTGTGAAACCTCATTCCCTTAGTTGACTCAATAACTATGTAAAGAAGGATGGAAAAGCTTTGAGTACTGGCAAGTGATCTACATGAAGAAGAAACATGATCATTGCCAATCTGTAGTTCTGCTGAAATACCTAGATATCCAAACTCCTGCGGGCCATGACTATGCAAGGTTGGGAAATTCAGCATCTGAACCACCATTTCTCAGCCTTTTCATGAAAATGCAATGTCATCAACATTAGAGTTGTATCAATATTCATGTTGAAGTCTAAATTTCAAAATGAAACATTCTGTTCCATTGACCCAAATTTTACTCTTCTTTACTTGGGGCGTTGGTGGAGTCGCCTGAGGAGATGTAATTTTCTTGCAGAGAGTTGAATCACAGCATGAAACCTCACTCACTCTTCTTGGCACAACACGTAGGGGTAGTGGGGCAGTTTAGTGGTGTGAGTCACTCCCAAAACACAGGCTCAATTCTCGACAGTGTGTGAATCCCATGTCTGGTGTTGCCCCATTGAAATATGAAAAATGTCATAAAACCTTTTTCACTCACTCACTCTTGTCACAACAGGTACGTTACGATGATGAAGCAAAGCGTGTGGTCATCGAACCTATTGAGATGGCCCAGGAATTTAGGAAGTTTGAATACGCCACCCCCTGGGAGACCTTTGGACCATTCAACAAGGCCAACAAGGAAGAAGTTCCCATCAAAGAAGCCCCAGCACCAGAGAAGTGAGACGTTTTCTGTAGTAGGAAATCTGCTCTATGTAAATATGTGTGTCCAGTTCTAGTGGTCAAAGTTTCATTCACACTGGTTTCATCCATGAGAGGCTTCATAGATGAGATGCCTGTTGTTTAGGATGTACATAAACAAAACGTGAATTAAACATCTTAACACTGCTGTTTTGTTGGATTGTCCTTTTGTGGAAGAGTTCTATGGTGCGAGAGATTCCAATAAGCAGACTGTAGTTAACGACTGCACAACAGATAAACTATCTCAACATACTTACTGGATAATGAAGTATGGAACATGAACATTCTGTGATGTGAAATTATTTTATTTAAATGTTTAGATTTTGTAAACATGGTGTAAATTTAAAGCAACTGATGCGAGTCGACCTGTTTGTGAAATATTTCACCATCAGCTCTCCGGTAGTTTCAGTGTGTGCTTGTTCACAACACTATCATCTGACAACTGATGGATCGTTTCTTCTTTTTCTAAGATGACTCCCATGTTCTGCATGTTTTTTTACAAGAGTTTTTGATGGTATTAATTAAAAGGAAAAGAAGTCTTTGATGCCATTGTGTTAAAGGAAAAGCAAGTCTTTGAATTTATTTTCTATTCGATTGTATGTCATGGATTAGACTTCTGATCACATGGGTAACAGACTGTCATACTGATGTACCAAAGACAGACTTGTATGGATATTCCAGCTGATGTATCTTACATAAAGTCACAATCTAAGTGTCATTACTTGTATTCCATATCTTGTCCAACAATATCACACATAAAAACAACAGAACTCCTAATGCATAGTAGCACTCATCAGATTTTTATTATGATCTTAAAACTTGTACAACATGTGAGTGCGTGAACCCCAGGGTTAGTGCAGCACTGTTGCAGGTACCGACATTGTACATGCACGCACTAGGGCAGCGCTTAACACCCCCACACAGGCTACGGAGTACTACACAAACTAGTTTGAAACTTGATGCTTAAACAAAACAGTTTGAAACTTGATTATACAAAATTGGTTCTGAGAAAATGCTTCAATAACATTATACTGAAGAATTATACTTAGCTACTTGACAAACAAAAACAAAAATATTAAGACTGTGCCATGTTTTACTTCAGAAAACAGGCAGCTGACATATTTTCCAAGTGTATATCTGATTGTGTGAGAACCAAGTTTTCATCTAGTTCAATCTGTGTTGAGATGGAGATATTATTCCATGTCAAACTAAAGAGCAAACAAAAATCCTGTTATTTATGGAAGCCTGTTACAGTAATCTGTTACTTGGTTACAGTGCACTGTAACAGTTTGCGATAAATGAATAGGTGTAAGTAAAGAATTCAATACAAATTCATGAAACCATGCTATTAAATAGTTCTTTTACCAGTTTGTCAACACCATGTGTCAAACTAGTCAATGCAAAACTTATAAATGCAGTAGTTCTGAACTGTGTAAATGTCAATTTGAACAAATGTGATTACTGGTAACACCCTGCTCTTAAACGATTGGTATCCTTATCAGCTGTGTGTGGAGTTGTTGAGGAGCACCCTGTATGGAGCTGACATAGCTCGCTACAGCTTCTAGCCTGAGCTCTACATCATGCATTTAACTTCAGGGCAGGCTGCAATTTGTACAAAGCGTATGGTTGTGAAAACTAGCCCAAAACTTGGAAGATGTACTCTGTACTGCCATTGAACAAATAGCAAAATTTTGTACAATACCAAACTATTATTCCACCATCGTTTTCACATTTAATTTCCAAATTCAAAATTGCAGCTTAATATTTTCGTGTTCAGTGACAGTGCAGATACATCTCTTACTTCTAAGAAATCCAAGCATCGCCATCATCAAAAGTGGCCACATGAACAACATGGAGTAAATACACATATTTACAACAGGGGAAAAAGAGTCATAATTATTTACAAAATAACCCATAATCATGGATGTAGGTGTTGAATTGGGGGAAACTATTCCCCCGAGGTTCATAAATATGATAAAATCAAAATTCTCAGTCATATAGTACAATACATGTCATAGCTGTTTAAGGTAGAATGGCGTTGGCATTTTCAAAGCTTATTGGAATTAAATCTCCTTGGTCCTGACAACACAAAACACTGCCCAAGCCAGGATTTGTCCTATCAAACTTGTAATATGGTAAGACTGATCTATTTAAGTTAGTAATATACATTTGTAATTAGTTGTAGCTAGCAGGATATAAAACACCTTAGTCAGGGATAGAAATTAACAAAGAAACAGCTCAAAACAGAGTTCACATTTATAGCAACACCTCCCAAAATGTTTGAAACTCGATACTTGATAAAGGATACCTTTAACATTTACAGACTTCAGCTAATTTCTATCCCTGCATTTTCCACCGTGTATTATATTTAATGGTAATCTAAACCTGCCATTGACCTGTATATCTGCATGATTCTTTGATTATTAATAAATAAACCTGATACTTCTGGTGCCACACTGCATGAGACATTGCTAAACGACAAATAAGGATCAATTCCAAATTATACAGCGTAACAGCCTTTAAACATGTAAATCCAGAAAAATTACAAAATTTCTTGCTTACATTAAGGAGTGCATCAAGTGCCTTATTGTCACTGCAGAGATCGGATCTTCTCCATTCCTAAACGAAATTAAAACATTAAAGGTGTCAGAGCAGTGCTGTCTTCCCAGTGGTATCTGAGTATGAATTGATCACGTAAACACCTCTAATAGTTGTATACAGATCAGTAAGTGTGTGATTATTTACCTGTAATTTCTGATTAAAATGTTTAACTGATTATCAAGAGTCCTTTCCCATTTAGTTAGTTACACACATGATTGGTAGTACAGAGACTGCAACTGATACAAAATGCGTCTGGTTTCTGAGAATACTTTCACACAAACATTTGGTTTAATTACTCTGCTTAGTAAATTGTTAAGGCTCCTGCTGATATGTTTCCATTTTCCAAGTAACCCAGACAAGGAACCCCTGACCATAAAACTGTGTTGAGTTTTTCCACGACTATATTGCCTGAAATTTAATAAAAAATATGTTTGTTTCACAACGGCAACAGACATTAAAAAAATCTGATACACAACATGATCGTAGCACTCTGACTATCACAAGTCTGTTTAAGGCATAGGAGTAGTTTCATAGTAAACCTTTGGGGACACTAAGAAAGTGTTAGTGGAGCAGGACATTCACCAAATTATTTCATAAAGATGAAAAAAAAATGAAACCTGAACTACCTACGCACTATTGGGATGGATTGGAATATGGAAATACATATTTTATTGGAGCCTTAACAGCCATTATACTGGGGAAGTAATGCCCTACAATGACAAGAAAGTGAAGTGGAGAAAACAGTTTTAATTTAAACAGAAAATCCTGGTAGCTGAACATAAGACTGCGTGAAAACATTTTAATTCAAACACAGCACTATATACTGACAACAAACTGCACAAAATACACCACAAAATGAAAACAGGAAACATTATGAACGTATCATTTGACAAAATCAAACTGACAGACACTGCAAAAATAGCACGTACAAGCTGCATAAATTCTCTGCCTTCGAATTATGTCGGGATGAAATGATATATTCTTAAATTCATACAGTTATGACAGCACAGATTTGCTATTTTTATATTTTTACAATATATGAAAACCAGTCATTAATAATCTCATTTGGTTTATGCAGCCTGTGCTATTTTTAATGTATCAAGCATTTTGGGGAAAAGAAACAAATTCTGGAAAATTCCGCAAAAAAACGGAAATCAACACAGTGTTGAAACTTGCATAATTGCTGGTATTATTACAAGTAATTATTGCATATTATTCACCGCTTCACATGATCGATGTACATAAAGGTCGTCTGAGCAGACACTGGAATAGTAGACTTGATACTGTTGTGTGTACTGTCATATTACAAAGGGATCATGGAGACCAGAATCGCAGTTTCACTGAAGGAAGGACAAGCCAGAACAACGCAGCAAAAACATATTTTGCCTTTTTGAAACATACATATCACAATTTCAAACTTATTTTGATACATATGATCATAAATTGGCTTTTATCAAAGAAGTCAAATTTCTCCACTCTTGAGAAAACACAATTTGAGAAAGTTAATGTGATTTCGCCAGTACATTGAGATCGAAAATATTTCCTTCAGAAACAAGTCTGCAACTTTTCATGCATAAACACTTTCATGCGAAGTTGACAAACAGCAGTTCTTGAGTCCATGCGAGAAGATTCCTACTATCGAAGATACATTGAGATCACGTGACTACATATTGCGTTCAAAAGCACCTTTGAAAATAACATGAAATAACTACTGTACCACTGATACAGATGGAGATGCTGAATCATTCAGGTGAAGAAGATGGAGGAGAAATCTCAATTCACATGATTATTGCAATTAACACAAGTCCAGTCGTAAATAAATTGTCTATTGAACATAGTCATCTTAACCTGAATACAACGGCATAATTCTCTACGTGCATATAGGTCTTTATTAAAAATGCTTCTAAAACATAACAGAACCTCTACAACAACTGGACAAAGATCTGCTTAAATAAAAAAGTTAACAAATAAATCAACTAAAGTGACTTGGCGATAAGAGTAAGAGCATTGTACAAAAGCAGTATGGTAAAATTCGATAAGAAGTCATCTGAAATTTAAAATAACTGCGCTAAAACATCTTCAGCATCCCAGCATTGTTCCCCTTGAATATCACAAGAGTATTTTCAAGGCAGCAGCAGGTTACACTGCTTCCGTTACTACATCTGACACTTGTAAGAATCATCTGTACAGCAAAGACACTGATCACAGGACCTGGAACATCTTCTCCATGGGTAACCTCGTCTTGAAAGCAGTATATTGCTCCAGATCGACAAAACTGGCGTAATTCCACGGAAACCTGCAGGATCATGGAAAATGGCCACCTCCACAACTGCTATCGCTCCTATACCCAGGGAACACTAGATCCATTGAAAGACTGCATACAACTGCTGCTAGACGAGCTCACCAGCTGGTGGAAATAGTTCTTGGGAAAATAGCGCTAACTCCACTGCAATTAGTTACCATGGTAACATCACTTCTTTGATGCCAACACTTACATTTTTCCTGTTTGTCAACAGTTATATTTCTTCGTTTCAAAAGTAAAAATTCCATGCAACATTTCATCAATCTTGACACAGTGTTGAATAAATCCTGCTTCACAAGATGCAAAGCATTGTCACACAGCCAAAGCTCATCATGCTTAACTGCACCCAACTACCGCCTGCAAAACCTTGAGAACGTTGCGAGAGCCCAAATGTACATCTCAAGAAAACATCTGACAAATCACACGTACATTACTCATCAAAGTAACAAACTGCAATGGTTCCAGCAAAACAACAGTTTCAAAAAGCCACAATGTATTAAACTTCAGAACTATCAGCAACCCTTCGTTTGAGTTCTAACACAAGTGAGTCTTGAGTAGGTGCACGGGGAGGAGGAGGGGCTTTACTGTAGATCTGCTCCATCTCCTGCAGCTCCTCCTCAGTGGGAGGCAGCGGAAGGTCATCGTTTGTGGTCGGCGCCCCTGCCACCGACTCGGAAAACTTGCGTGTCAGGCTTTGTATAACATTGGCATGTCCGTGTGTTTGCTCCAGTATAATGTGAGGCTCTGCATAGTGGGGACTACTTCCTGGGGCCGCTCTGCTAGGCGAAGCTGACCCTCCACTGTGCTGTTGGTGCGGCGCCTGCTGCTGTGGCCGGTGATGTTGTGGGATACGTCTCTGTTGATGGTGGTTGTGGGGTGATGCAGGATGTCCTTGCGGGTGCCCTTGTCCATGACCTTGATGTCCTTGAAGGTGCCCTGGGCCATGACCTTGAGGATGTCCTTGATGTTGCCCTGGACCATGTCCTTGATGTTGCCCTGGGCCATGACCTTGAGAATATCCTGGTGGATGACCTGGGCCATGGCCTTGTGGGTGACCTTGAGGATGGCCATGACCTTGAGGATGGCCATGACCTTGAGGATGACCATGACCTTGTGGGTGTCCACTTGAGTGTCCTTGAGGATGAGGATGACCTTGTCGTTGCTGTTGTTGTCTCAATTTAGTATCATGTATACTCTGCTGGATTAGTTGCAGTTCAGCATACGGGCCATCAGAGTGCTTATCCCCGCTGGGAATCCGCTTATGCTGCATAACTGGGCCCTGAGGAGGCCCAGATATCTCCCTTGGGGGCGAAGCACGGACCTTCTGGGCTGCTGGGGATGCGCCTGTTACAGATACTGTCCTCCTCACAGGGGGAGGGGGCCTGGCGCTGTTGGCAGAAGTGCGGCGTGAAAGACTGTTGTTGGTTGTTGGGGTCGGGATGCCTGCAGCGGAAAGGAGAAAATCAGATGAAGAAAAAGGTTACACATCACAATATTATTAAAAACCTTACGACTATCAATCTCAATGATACAGTATTCTGAACAAGCAATAAAGAATCGCAAATAATTTAATTATTTATTACAAGTGAAAAGTGATTCAACATCAGTACATTATCCATCTGTTACAACATGGATGCTCATTACACAGGAAGCAGCAGAAGGAACGATGGGATGTCAGGTTTAGACTCAAGCTGCACGGAATGGCCATGTTAGTTGACACAAAGCATGCTGGTTCGAGGTGTTAGTGGCAGGAAGGTATCAGCTTCAGTTTGTACATGTATTTACAGTATTTTGGGTTTAAAGCAACTTTCAACAGTATTTCAGTCATGCCATAGGATGTCAATACCGTTACAGCCCAAAGCAATGCAGATGATTGATATTACCACCTCACTTAAGTCTCATGAACATGAGTTTGGTGCATCCAAACCAAGAAACAAGCAGGGCCGATTAACCAATGATCACTGCTTCAGGAAGTGCCAAGGGAGGTAACTCAATAAATAAATTTATCATCAGAATTCCCCTCCCACTTTCTCAGTCTTCCAAAAGTATATAAGCTTAAACCAGAGACACTCAAAAAATGAAAAACAGGACTTATCAAAGCATTAATTTTATCTGACGAGCAGCCATCAATTCAGCCATATCTGAATTCTGTTAACTGGCCCTCTAGAAACACGAAGTTACACGAACTGTTAAGTCGGGTCATGGAGTATATTCAGCATTTGTGACCCGTGAATATCCGGATTAGAATGGGTCTTCAGTAACCCATGCTTGTCATAAGAGGCAATCAACAGGATCGGGTGGTCAGGCTCGCTGACTTGATTGACACATGTCATCATATCCCAATTGCATTGAACTGTGTTACTGAAAACCAATTCTTACCCGGATCTTCACAGGTTTTTAAATCTTGGGCAGGCAAACTGATGCTCAAGATAATGATCACAGATCCATGCCTTTCATCAGGCAAGGGTATGTTGCTTCAATATTTCCAGATAAACAAATATCTTTGCATTTTTATTCACTGATCCAGAAATATTACAGCAACGACACAAGGGCCTTTGGGTCAAAGACACACATTCAGCCAAATGATAGTGACCACCCAATCCTCAGTGGTCACTCCAATAGCATGTTGTACTGGGACCTATTCTTACACGAATCTCAACGGGCATTTTGGAGCAGAACTACAGACCGCTCCATGCTAGAATTGTATACATATGGTCCTTTACAATGACACACACCTGCTGTTGACGCAGGGCGTTTGGGTTGCAATACACTACGATAGGCAGTATACACGTCCCGACTGCGCGGAATCGTGTAATATTTCTCGTGATCAGTTTCCACGACGCCTGTAGGAGCTATTTGAAAATCTGCAAACATAGCAAAAAACAAAACATGACAGACAGGCACGATGCAACAGTGAAGAAATGTAGCAGTACTTGCTGAGAGAGCGACACATCCCAAGAAACCAGTGTTTGTGGTGACTATCTTAACATGGATACACAAGTAAAGTACTTCTGAAATCATGTGGGGCGGTGGGGTAGCCTAGTGATTAACATGCTCCCTCGTCACACTGAAGACCTGGCCGCAATTGCTCGAAACAAACTTAAGTCTGAGTTTTGACTTAAGTTAGAGCTTTTACTCAAATTTGAGAAAAATCCATTTTCCAGAATGAACTGAAATCGACATTAAACTCAAACATAGTAGACAATTTGAGTTTTGTGGATAGATTACTTAAGTTATTTGGGCTTTTTCATTTTATAAGTGCAGTTGAGTTAAAAATACAGATTGAAATTTGAGTAAAAACTTAAGTTTGTTTCGAGAAATCGGGGCCTGGATTCGATTCTAGACATGGGTACAATGTGTGAAGCCCATTTCTAGCGTCCCCCGCTGTGATATTGCTGGAATATTGCTAAAAGCAGCATAGAACCATACTCACTCACTCTAAATTCATGTTAATACATACAACTTATCACTAATTTTTCAGCTTTGTGGATTTCACTCATAACAGGACCTATCAACAGAACAGTTATTAAAGCTTAGTTGTATATTTCCGCATTAATGCCATCTAAAAAAACGTTGAAATTTCAGAAAAGAACTTGAAATTTTTTATTTTGGAACAAATATTGATTTTAAACAAATTATTCCTACCAGAGACACTAAGTCAAGTATCCTTGAGAAATTCTGGGGTTTCATGTAGTTAGGAATTGAACCTGGGACTTTGGTAAAGGCTTTAATCACTAGGCAAAACCCATCTCCTCCATACTCATATCATAGGACACCAACCTAGGTGCACATTCTTCATGTGATATCTAACTTTCAAATTTAAAAGCACCCCAATACCAGATTCCTGGGAGTGTCTAATTCTTCTCTCAGCAAGTAACACAGCATAATCGTGTATTTATAATAAACAAAACACATACCAAACTTATCACGGAGACAAGAAAATAAACTCCAGTTGCCTACCACTGCAAGACCAAAAAATTGATGTGGATACATTCATAAATATCACAATCACATGCTACAAGTAATATCAAACAACAGTCAAACATGCAAGGGCAGTTGATCAAGGTTTCATAAACTGCAGGGAGTATATTTCTGAGAGTATCCAACTGGAGATTTATTTACAGGAACTTAACCTTTTGCATATTGCATACTTATCATCCCAGTCATGGAAGGTGACCTTTGATCTAACACTGACTGTTTTGACTTGTTTCTGAGACCTTTTTGGGGTCCAAAGGTTTTGAAAATCTATCAATATTTTAAAGCAATTTTTGTGTTTATTACACCATTGTTCAAACCAAGGTTTTTGAAAATCAATCAGTATGTTTAAAACCAACAATGTTGATGCAAAAAATATTATTTCCTATCTTTTATACCATTAAAACAAGAAGTTTTGAAATCCAAGTATATTTGTTTAAGTAATCCATTTGTTTCAATGGCAAAATGATATAAGCTAGCTCCTTAAATATGTTGAAACATTCTCTTGAAACACATTTTTTAAAAATCATTCAGTACGTTTTGAAGTCGGTGTCTGGACGCCAAAAATTATGATCCATAACAACCACGTCTTCCAAAATGAGAATATTTTTTTATGAAAATGTGAACTGCATGCAGACATACCTGGCATTCATGAGAAAAATAATATTCCCTTGAAACAAAATATTTGCAGACATGCTATATGCTTGACATATCCGTGAAAATGAACAATAAAAAAAACTTGATCATCCCACAACATGCATTCTGTCTACATGGCACAGTGAACGTCAATCAACAACTTCAACACGAGGGATGAGAATGGAATCTCATTGAAGCAAATGGGGATAACTATTGACCGAACACTGATATTCAAAACAAGGGGGGATAACTCAGTACTAAGTTGTTACACTTTCTGTATAGCTTAACTGAACTGCAGACCAATTGGTAAAATGATATATTTAAAAAACAAAGCACCTGCTGAACATTAAATTATCATAATCAAAACATTTTATAAACATTTCGAATTCTAAACCCAAAGATGCCTTTGAAAGGAATGACTTGGTAAATTTCGTAAAATGAAACCTTTATGTTTATCTCATCAAAAAAGTGTAACAGTTTGCTAATCACTTCACTCCGACAACATCACTTTGTAACCACGGCAACTGCCTACCTCCTGAGGCTATGGTGTCCTCTGATCCTGACGGCGTACTGTTCATGGTGCCGTAGCCACTGGAGCACTGTAGCGATGTGTGGCTGGTGTGGCTCTGGGTGTCGTACGTACATTCCAGAGCTGCGGTACTCGCCTCCAATTCCCGTATCGCCTCGGCTAACTCCAGGGAATTCTGCTGCATTTGTTGCTGGAAGATACAAGTCGACAATAAAGCAACAGCTGAAAACAGTCAGTCACGAGCCACAAGTTAACGCTAGAGAGGCTGCTAAGAGCAGCAAAGTCATGAAATGAATGTGAAAAGCCCTACCTTCAATTTTTCAGTTGCTTCATTGATCTCAAAGAAATCATTATCAAACGAAGGAACTTTTGTCAAATTGTCAGCACTTCTGTACTTCAGTTGCACATGTTTTTCTATAAACATCTTAAAGTGTTTATGCATTCTAAAATATAATGTTTTTTGCTCCTGTGAACTCACAAACCACTGACTGGCTTGTCATTGCACACAGTTTATGAGAAGCACTGCTTTTAAACTGACATTGTGGCTTTATTAACGGAAGGGGAATTCCTATTAATTATACAAATTTCATATTTGCATTAATTTCATGACTTAAACTGACTATTTCCATTAATATTTATTAATGCATATATCATGTAATTTATCAGTGAACAGGAAAATACTTAATAAATCTGTTACGAATTTTTCAAGCATTAAATTATCTAAACTTAAGAAATTTATATGATTCAGTTTATATTTAAGAATAAAATGAAGCACTTACAGAGTGTTGGACAAATACATTTGATACATTTTTTTACAAAGACACATTTACAAATCTAAAACGTTAATTACTTGATCTAGACTTTTGTTTCAGTATCAATGAAGAACTGATAAACATGTTCATGCACAAACACAGACATTCTTTAAGAAAATTGTTAGTTGTCGAAATGTCAACATTCTTTTGAGACCATGATGCACAAGATTGAACAAGGAAACTAGAATTCACTGACACTGGACAAACATTAGTTACTTTCTTAACTACACAATATTTGCTAACTTAGCACATGAAAATGAAACTACAATATTGACCATTAACACTACAGACACAAGTTTTAGTTATTCCTAAGAGGATCTAATTAGTTATATTAGTTCCCTGTTATTTTCCAATTATTACTGACAAGCTTGGCCCTGTGTTGTGCAGAAACAAAAGCAAAAAGCATTACACAATCAAAGCGTGAGTGAACATGTGTCATATTTCTCATGTTGTGCCCGGAAACAACAAACTTTACTTAAAATGGGTTAAGGTGTAAAAGCAGGGGAGGTAATTGGGGAAGTATTCCAATTTACATTAACTTGTCCTCACTATTACTGAATAGGCAGGATAATTGTTTCAAGTAAAGGTATAAACACAAATACTTCATAATAATATGAATGTTGTGATATAAAAAATTAAATGGTTTTATAATTTTATAGTTGAACATTATTGATACACCACCCAAAGCAGAGACCATATACCGGTATATGGTCTCTGCCCAAAGTGACAATAATTTACTTTACTCCTTGAACTGTGACAATTTAAGATGCCCATAAATATTGTAAATAAATAGAACTAGTAAATTTTTGGCAGATGGTTCTGAGATAGTGACTCTTGAAAAACAGGTGCAGATGGAAGAGAAGCATCTTTGCTTGATCTTATTGTGAAAAATGTCCTACCAGGCTGTCTGGGCTTCCGTTTCTAGTCTAAAGGAGAAACGAAATAATTTAAGTTTTCTTTCCATACTTCGGCATCTACAAACACTGAAAATTTCTCCCTTTTCAAAGAACTTCTATTTCAAGTATCAGGAAACAATAATTTTTTTTTTTTTTTTTAAAGATCAACGAAGAAGTAGTCTAAAGAAATTAACATACGGAAAACTTCACAATTCACAAAAATTCCACAAGACATACTACAGATGCTGCACTAACATACTTCGGTTATTCTTTTCTAATCCAGAAACCATTTTATCACAGACTGTTACAAAAAGACAACAATTTAAAACAATTTTTACTACAAATTGAATCGAATCAAAGAATCCAAAAGTGCCAGAAAAAAGTGCAATATCCAAAAACCTTGACACCACAGAAGCAAATCTATCTGGAGCGCACACTTTTCACACGCGATGGCGACAGACGTCAATCAATCTTGCCTTATGTACATCATCCTCGTCGCTATCATATTCAACATTTAAGGCTGCGGTGCAGCTATCAAGTGACTTGATGGCCTCCTGAAGGTCCAACATATCTGATTGAGTCAGGGACGGCTGTTCAGAGGAGCAAGAGGTCAAAGGTCAGAGGTCAAACCAAGAAGATAGCTCGAAAATAAACTAAAACATGTTGGTAATTCAACATAGACATGTTCAACCTATAGAGAGTGTGTTAAAAAGAGAACTTTGCTGTCGGACACCCACTGTGATTGAATTAACAAAAATTGTTTGTATTTCAATCCCAAGAAGTAGATATATTGGTCTCCTGAATAATTTTGATTTGGCGAACATTGTCCCAGATCACACGATGTTAAGATTAGTTTGAGAAGACAGCTTTTGTGTACTTATATTGCCATGGCAGCTATCGGCTTTCAATATTGACTCTAAGCTAAGCAATCCTTGTTTTATCCCTTGGAGTCATCATATCCCAATTGCGTAGATCAATGCTCATGCTATTGATCAATGGATTGTCTAGTCCAGACTCAATTATTTACACACTGCAGCCATATAGCTGGAATGTTGCTGAGTGCGCGGCGTAAAACTAAACTCAATCACTTATACCCTTGAGCCAAATGCAATGAAATATGTACCATCTTTTAACATATTTTCGGATAAAACACGGGCAGCAGACATAATTTATTCCGTTCATCAAGGCACCTAACTTATACTGACAAAGTTGAAACTTAAAGTTCTTTAAGTTGTAACGGGTCCAACAACAAGGCTATGAAGACACTACAAGTTGTACTCTCACACTAATGGCTTCCCTGTAATCTTCCAGGAAATCAACCACAATTGCTAAAATGTCGAGAGACGGCTGAAGGAGAGACCTAGGATCAAGTGAATCAGGGATGTGTGTCCGACAAGAAAGTATGACTACATATTACTGCTTAGAAAGGAGGACAAACCCTTGAGCAAGAAGACAACCACAGAGGGATTCAAACCAATGTTCGCAAGTGAACACTTTAACCGCTGCACTACCCCCACTGACTCTAATCACTCAAGTTTTGGTTGAGAATACTGATCAAAAGAATCAGCCAAAGTCTGAATTAATCAGTAGTTCCCATTTATGATTGGGTTGGCTTCAGGGTTCCAGCGTTCTAAGCAGTCATAGGCTCTACATAAATTGTTAAAACACAGCATAAACACAAGACTTGCAACTAAGTATAAGCAAAGCATTCATTTGAACAGAATTTCCGGTGGAGACCAATTACGATAAAACTTTCTCAATGTTTACACTTCTCTTTTTAATTCTAAATTTTCATACTTTGTTTCTGCCAATTTTGATAATTAGTGAGAAAATCATCAGTGAGAAGACTTATGTAACAGGAATGCCAAATATCAGAAAATGTTAAGAACTTGACCTGGTACTACTTCAGCATAAAGGAAAGGGTCCAAATAATGTCTCCGATCACTTCCATATTCACCTTTTGTAATAGTAAATAGCTCCACCTCAATGTTCAAAACATATCTCTTTAAAAAATAATCTTAAAAAAATCAAACTTTTTATCTTTGTCTTAGTAGCATGTGAATATAGAAGTAGATCAAACAAGCATCAAATGCTGTTTCCAGAAGAGCAAAGTTTGAAAGAAAATGATGTCAAACAAAGAGGAAAGTTCCAGCTTGCTTGATTGAGAGAGCATGCTCTACAACTGGTTTCAGTGTTAGCAATCAGCATGTCAATCATTAAAGAATTAGTCACATATAATGGCGAGACAGTTTCATAGAGTTGTGAATGTCACCAAGGGAGACAACAATATGTTACACCATATCAGGATTCAGGGCGCATACAGGCCTTTTAAGGCCCAAAGTCGGCCGAAACCCTTATCTACCTACCTATTAGGATTCAATTACAAGTGTACACTGAACAAATATATTGACACTGACTAAATTTAAAACAAGAAAATATATTGTGGGTTCTTCCAAGACGTTTCTAGTTTTTGAATAAAGGAAATTGAAATATCAGTTCATAATATATGACAGAAACAACTGACACATTTCAACTCAAATAATTTTCTTTCCCCAGTCATATATCCAGGGATCTGTCCCAAAATCAATCTTAGAACTATAACATTACCTATAGAGATAAAATATATGAATTACAATTATTTCAGGCATAAGATGGCTTTGTTGAACAAGGGGCCTGGGTTTAGTCTGCTGCAATTAGATCTCTAAGAAATCTTATCTCCCTTTATCAAACATGGATCTATGATACAAACAGCACCAAGATAACAATATATAACAGCACAGGATGAAATGGAAACTTTGATGACAAGTAAAACAGAATTGTAAGAGTTATCCCCCTTGGACTGTAAGAGTTATCCCCCTTGGATTGTAAGAGTTATCCCCTCAGACTGTAAGAGTTATCCCCTCAGACTGTAAGAGTTATCGCCCTTAGACTGTAAGAGTTGTCCCCCTTGGTGATGTCCACAGAAGCCCAGTGGTTAAGTCTTGTATGAGTCAGCTACAGGAGTGATGATGTGACCATGACATGGCCAGCTGGAGCCCCCGGAGTCCTGTCGTTACCTGTGCAGCAGCATTATTAGATGGGGTTGGGGGCGAGGACGATGTGTCGCTGTCGGGGGAGTGGACGATCACTGGCTCCACGTCCTTCTTCTTATCAGCAGCCATCTGAGCTATCTCAGCGGCGTTTGCGTAGATCGGCGATTGGGAAACTGAAACCAGGATACCCACAAAATAATGTAACACACGCAATTATCCAAGTACTGGTGCAGACACACACACACATCTCCCTCTATTGAAGAGAGCAAAACATTAGTACCCTGTGAACCACAGCTCCGTGAAGCATACCACTCATGTACATCGAACACACACTCTTTGTGAAGCATTCAAAACATTCATACATTGAAAACTCCACTAATTTAGAGCCTACAAAAATATATGTATACAGAGCAACCCACACTATTGATGACAACAAAATATTTATACATTTATCAACATTGCTTTTTTTGAGTGAGTGAGTGAATGAGTGAGTGAGTTTAGTTTTACGCCGCTTTTAGAAATATTCAAGCAATATCACGTCAGGGGACACTAGAAATGGGCTTCACAAATTGTACCAATGTGAGGAATCGAACACAGGTCTTCGGCGTGACGAATGAACGGTTTAACCACTAGGCTACCCGACTGCCCCTGCTTTTTTAAAGCAGATTTCACCTTTATAAATTTGGTTATAATAAACAGAAATCTAAATTATTCCTTGAAAAGTTTTCCACGAAACTAATAATACTGCAAATTATCTTATGACTGCATTCATCAAACAAGCAAACCCAGGCATGGCTAAAGGACGTAACTCAATATGGCAAATGAAGTCATCCTACAAAACTCACCTGTATGAGGCACCATAGGAGGTGGCACAGCCTTGGGTTTGGGTTTGGGCCCAAGCGGTGGGAGGACTGGCTGCATCTTGTTGATTGTAGCAGACGGTCGCGAGTATGGCGACGCACTCACAGTACTGTGTGGACGTCCATGTTTAGCTCCGCCCTGAGCTCCACGGGAATCGGCCTCCTTCAGCTTCTCTAACATCTCCGGTGCTGGAGGTTGGAAAAGTTCCGCTTTCAGAGCTGGGCGATTGTGATGTGACTTTTCATAGGCAGACGAAATCGTGTGTGGGCGGAAGTCATCTCCCTTCTGAGCGCTGTTGGGGGCATTAGGCCAGTTGTTCCATGTGGAGCTGGCAGACGGGGTAGCGGGGTAGTGTTCTGAGGGTGTGGTTGGGGTGGAGTCAACGTCAGGGGTACCAGTACTAGTACTGTCCTTGTCCGAGTTCTGAAAATAGTTGTCTTTCTTGTCAACAAATTATTACAATATTAACTATATACAAACATATCAAAACTTGAAAAAGTAATAATTGTTTTAATACAAAAGACTCAAGACTTCAGATCCATATTTTGATTCTCCTAAGGCGAGATGCTGTCTTCAGCTGACTGGGTGACGTTACATATGAGTATGATGTTAAAGCCAGGTAAGCTAATAACAATATATTACCATCTCACAACATTTGTAACTTAATCTTAACACAAGGTTTTATTATTCGTTTTTGGCTTGGTTTACGGATTAACTGAACTTAAAAACTGACAGAAAATATCAGAATGAAAAGCTTTTTTTTTTTCAAAAATGACTGTAAATATGAATATGAATGCACACTGCAAATGTAACCCAGTCAAATGACTGTAAAAACTTCTTTTACCAAAATTATCAGAGATATTTATGTGATTGCAAGTAAAAAATTTGCAACCATAAATCATTTTTCTTTATTTTCTTATCAAGTAAAGGAACCAAATCAAATCAAACTTTTGACTAATTTTTTCGACCGTAAATCAAAATCCGTCAACCAAATACCAAGGTCTGTCTCAGTTTGTCTGTCTCAATGCACTCGATGCACGTTACAGATTCAAGGTACTTGAAGCATTAAGAAGCAGCAAGCTGCAATTAGAGGTTAAAAGGCACAACACTGAGGGTGGGCAGGTGATGGTAAAATGCAAGCTGGACACACAACACTTACACCCACAAAATCATCTGATAGTTCGGTGATGGTGTGCAAGCTTACTGTTGATACACCTAGACAATGCAAGACAGTGTTCGAAATTAAACATGAAATTCCAGGGTCCTTGCCGTAACTCAAAAAGACCCTAGATTCAAACACTTACTGAGCAAACTTCAAGGACCCCCGAAGACCTGTCAAAATTTCAAACACTGCATGTCCTGCCATATTTGACATACCAATGCCTAGTGTCTACGTAGTTAAAAACATTCTATTGGAAGCTGAGTAAAATGCACTAGAAACCTGGTTTTACTCTCCGGGGTGATCAGCAACTTATTTATGTTTAGTTACATTCAGAAGCCACAATAAACTGACTGACTGACTGAGTTTGGTTTTACGCCGCTTTTAGGAATATTCCAGCAACATCACGGCAGGGGACACCAGAAATGGGCTTCACACAATGTACCCGTGTGGAGATTCGAACCCGGGTCTTCGGCGTGACGAGCCAACGCTTTAACTACTATGCTACCCCACCGCCCCGACACAATAAACAAAAACAGAATAAGTCTTGGTTCAATATATTTTGTTTGATTGCTCCTTTTATGATAGATTACAAAAAAATGTGACTAAAGATAGTTTGTGAGCAACATCTTATCGAATGCATATTTAGTCTGTGGTCAATGCTAAAGAGGAAGTCTTTTTGGAAAGTCTGTTGTTTGTTGTTTAACGTTGTACTCAGCATTATTCCAGCTATATGACAGTTGTCTGTATATGTCTGAGGCTGAACCAGACAATCCAGTGACTGACATCATGAGCATCCTTCTACTCAACTAGGATGTGAGGACAAGCATCAACCACGCCTTTTCTGTTAGTCGCCTCTCAAGACAAGCATGGATTGCTGAGGAGTCATTCTTAATGTGATCCTCATAAATACATATGTCTGCAATTGTGCAAAACAACTAAACATCCTGCACTAGACCGACTGACTGAGTTTGGTTTTACGCCGCTTTTAGCAATATTCCAGCAATATCACGGCGGGGGACAGCAGAAATGGGTTTCACTCATTGTACCCATGTGGGGATTCGAACCCGGGTCTTCGGCGTGACGAGCCAACGCTTTAACCACTAGACTACTCCACCGCCACTCCTGCACTAGAAACAGTACAAGTATTTATTTTTTCCTCATAAAAGAGATCAACTCAACGATTGTCTGTGACAGTGACCATGGCATTCCCAGAGTTCAGCTACTCTTCCAAATGACCAATGAGTGTAGGTATGACTGAGATGACTGAGGCACTTTTCACAGCAAGCAATGACCTAACATCTGACTAAGTATATGACATGATCGATCTGAGGGGCACCTGTTGCCATGACGATGCTATGGAATGACATGATTATTGTTGCAAGTTGAACAAATGTTGTGAAAGCAAGAAAAGGGAAATAGTTCTGAAGCTTCTTATAACATTGAAATATTAAACATTGCTTCATGAATGTGGACTGTCTGTCTGTATGGAGACAAGTGTTTCTACTTCCATTTCACTAATATTTCAATTCATGTTTTGCAGATAGTAAGGTTTTACGCTGCTTTCCAGCAGTATCATGACCGGGAGACACCAGAAATGGGCTTCACACAGTGCACACGTGTTGGAAATTGAAAACAAGTCTTCAGCATTACGGGCAAACACTTTAACCACAAAGCTACCCTACCACCCCTCCTGTTTTGAAATACCTGATTGGTTTTTGTGTCAGACCTACTTACATACAGCTTTGAAATTGTAGTACGACAACAATAAAGAGCAGTATTAATATATATTCTACGAAACATCGGACTCATATTGCGTGTACAATAGTATTTCTTTGCTTTTCTTCACTGATCGGTATACCCCAAAGGGATCATTCATTCATCCATAGTGCTTACTCATGCATGATCAGGTACATGCTTACAATATTGGGGGGGATTAACTGACTCTACAGAGATAACATGGATATACTGTAGGAAATGCCATGCTGACCAGGAAACGATGTTTGGCCCTGAATGGCACTGGTCAGACGAACAGTAATTCATATCAATATATCACCAGATGCATTCAAGGAAAGGGATGGACGGTATAACATATTTCCAATTTTATGAGGTAAAATACAGTTTTCATTCTTCATGCTGCAAAGAGGTAATCTCCCCTCGGGGCAAATATTCATTACTTCAACATTTGTGAAGGCATTCAAGGAAAGGGATGGACGGTATAACATATTTCCAATTTTATGAGGTAAAATACAGTTTTCATTCTTCATGCTGCAAAGAGGTAATCTCCCCTCGGGGCAAATATTCATTACTTCAACATTTGTGAAGGCATTCAAGGAAAGGGATGGACGGTATAACATATTTCCAATTTTATGAGGTAAAATACAGTTTTCATTCTTCATGCTGCAAAGAGGTAATCTCCACTCGGGGCAAATATTCATAACTTCAACATTTGTGAAACTTTGACGGAGGAGAGGTTTCTGTCAAGACGAGGGTAAAACCAGGCAGATCTATGACTAATGTCTAGATGCTGAGAGGCAGTTGCCGACTGTTGGCGTGTACGGTCTAGACGAAGTGTGGGGACAAAGCCTACCTGTGGCAGATTAAGGGATAGGGGAGTGGTGGGCCGCAAGAACAGCGTATCCTGGGACGTGAAGCCGGAGTCCTGTGATGACACGCTCATTAAGCGTTGAGTTCCCACGGTCGGTTGCTGTGTGTGTGGAGAGAGAAAATAATAGCATACACATGCCCAAATGCATGATGGTTGTCGGGTATTCAGAACGGCTGCTCGTATACGCCTTATATCCAAAATTGGTACAAACCGGTAATATTGCCAAGACAGCTCAGGACCTTACCATTATCGCCCCAAAATGCCAAATATTAAACGGACAAATGACTTCAAGAAAAAACTGTGTAAAAATCACACGTCTTACAAGGAATCAGATGTGACTTAAATTTCTGTGGAAAATTGCTAATGTAACCTTTTCAATTGGGTCATAAAGATTGTGCATTTCAGATTTACAAGAGCTGTCAGTGACAAGAAACTCAATTTAAAACTGAAACCATAATTTCACGAAAGTTAAATTTCCTGATGTGACGGCCTAATGAGCAGCAGCGCTGCATACAGCAAGCGTCTTGATTGACTGCAACATGCACAAACCGCAGACACCATAAACATGATTCAATATAGCATGCACCAGTAGCTCAATGTCGTAGCTCAAATAATGAACATCTGCAAATAAATGGACATCGACCCAGCTGGCGACACGATTCAGCGGACACGATCATTGACTGGATGGTATGAAGGCATGCAGCAATCATGTAGGTTATATGCAGTGCCAGGAAAGACTGATCGAGTGATGGAGGGAATCATGGGAAGAGGAGATAACAGCGTTTACGTCTGTTACGATAAGAACGTTCGACTACACAGTGATCATGGGATTACAAAAAGGCATAATGGGTAAACAACCCTATATTCTAATGTACTATTAGGAGCACAACTGATAATGGGTAAATGACAGTGAAGAGGATTTTGGTTGAACATTGAAAAAACGTATTGTTTGATGACAGCAAAAAGACAAGAGTGGTTGCTCTGATATCATATTAGTATATATTTATAAGAAATTGAGACAACTCTCAATGATTTACCATATATACAGAAATATAGACTGTTACGTTATTGTTTCATTGTACTCTGTTATCACAGCATATCACACAGATTAATATAGTCTCTGAAATAAACAATATTATATTGGAACCTTCAAGTATCTTAACTTCCTGAAAAGCTCAAACAGGGATGTGAGTAAAGCCTGGGATGAATATTTCATCAAAGCCATGCTTCGGGATCTGTAAGAGAGACTACATGTAACAGTGTAGGGGAGTGGTGGGATCCAAGCATTCAGACTGGTTTCCATTAGGCACAGATCAAACATTACAAGACTAACCAAGATTATTCTCTCTACTGTACAATAGAGCTTGTTTGTTGCTTAACACCTCATGAGTTATATGAATGTAAAAAATTGAGCCTGAACGAGCCAACAAGTGATTGATGTCACGAACATCATTCTCAATATTGTCAGAAACCAGCTGCTGCAATCAGTACGGCAATGACGCATCTGACAAGATATACTTCAGTGTAGTACGGGAATTGAATAATGCAAATTTAAAGTAGTCCCGCCATGGTATAACAAACAAAGATATGGTATAGTTAATCACATTGTTAAACATTTCACAGGACAAATTTCTACCGAGCACTGACAAATACAACGTTGGAGGTGTACCTGTGAAGTTGTGCGGTTGCGCACGTTGTGGTGGCTGGGCGAGTGCGACTGCGTGGAGCCGCTGGAGGAGCTGTTAATGCTGCTGATGCTGCACATGCTAGACTTGCGCGATCCTAGTGAGCTGGGTGAACTTGGTGGCGTCTGCTGGAAAAATAGAACAATCTACATGACTACAAAGAAACGTTGTCATTTTCCAACAGACAAAATATTCAGAAGCAAAATAAAAAAGAAAGACACACAAACTCCTTCAGCAAAACAATCAACAGATGTTTATGATTTTCAAAACTCAAAGAAAACTGAAAGATTTATACAGAGTTATCTCCCTTTGCACAATTCTGATATTCTCTTGCAATGAATTATATTAAAGCAGATATATAATATACATTATTTATCCCCATAATCATGATTATCATTTCCATATTCGCAGGAGTTAAAGATAAAAGAAAAGAATGTCTTTTTATTTAATTCAAAACCAAATTCCCAGCAAGGCTGCAGTTGTTCAGAAACACATATTTCATAATGAGACTATTAATAAATCGTGGTCTATTCAAGTGGCCAGGTCAGATTATCTGTAGTAACATGAAAGAATCAGATGTCTCTTAACCTTTTTTGAATACTATATATAATACACTTAACAACTCCATTGTCGATTCTTCCCAGGAATAGCTGTTAACAAAGAACACAAGAAGCAGAACAGAGTGATAGAAGGATCAGAGACAGCGTTTTCACTGAGCAGCTTGGCGCTATGACAAGTACTTCCTTCCTGCCGACACACAGTGTGTCAGATTTGCTAGTCTATGAGTCATGGTGATACTTGCACTCTGAACAGTTGTATCAAATATCACTATTACACCAAGTGTCCAAAAGATCTAGGGGTTGGATATGCATGGTGTCCCTTTTCATTTTTCAAGTTGTTATGTTGTTGTTGTTGTTGTTGTTTACATCTGTAATTCCATTTGTCAATATTATCTTCAAGTGTCACTCACTCACTCACCAGATCAAACCCCAACCATTGGTCAATATTATCTTCAAGTGTCACTCACTCATCAACCAGATTAAACCCCCACCATTGGTCAATATTATCTTCAAGTGTCACTCACTCACCAACCAGATTAAACCCCACCATTGGTCAATATTATCTTCAAGTATCCCTTGCATTCACTCTCACTCTCCCACCCATCCACCCCCTCATTAACTCCCCACCACCGCACCAGAATAAATGAATAGTATTTACTGAAGAAACAAAAACAAAACTTGAAAATCTGGATAATATCATGTCTTTGGTAAGAGGTATCAAATGAGAAGAACATGGCTCAAAATATAACCATGTATGGTTCTAGATTTCTTCAGCTCAGTCAAATCCCCATGTAATGTGCTGCACTGTAAACATGGCTTGTCTATCTCCTAATACATACTCTTTCAAACTGACATGGAAATTTATGGGCTGTGAATATTCTCAGTACAGCCATTCAAAGTTTTGTGTCAACCTTTAGAACACATGACAGACGGTTTCACTTCCAGGAGCCCTATCCTCAGAGTGGTAGCTGCTTTACAGGGCTAGATGGTGGGTACACAGGAAAAGGGTATTAAACAACTGAAGTGGATCAGAAGGGAGTATCAATTCACTAATTGGGTCAGAAAAGAGGTATCAAACCAATGAAGCAGTCAGAAGGGGTATCAAGTGGTACTTCACCAATCTCGGTCCCTAACAAGGTCTTAAACCCAAGGATGGGCAGATTGGGGTGTGTGGGGATGAAGTGGGTTGGTTGCTTTGTAATAACAGCATTGGGTCCAAAGTAAGGTATCAAACCATTAAAGTATGTCAGGAGGGGTATCACAAGGAATGGAATAGAGGCATATAAAGGTCAGAAAGGGGTATCAAATGACTTAAGTGGTTCAGCAAGAGGTATCAAACCAGTGAGCTGGGTGAGAAGAGAGGCATTTAATGACTAAAGTGAGTCAGACAGGCATATCAAAATGAGAAAAATACCAGGTACAGATCAAACAGTGCAGAGAAAGCTTGCAAAGTGAGACAAAACTCCACACATGTCCCATCCAGGATGATCAAATACATACTACTTATCTCTATATAACAGTATCAATGACAAACTTACCAGATTTCTTAAAAATTCTTTCACATTTATATCATGCCAAGCTGACATGAATAGACATGGTATTCAAAGAGATGGCCCAATAGTTGCTTTTCAAAATATTTACAAGGTAATTAGAGATACAAGAAGATAGAATTAATTACACTTCCACACTATCTTTACCTTGCAAAGGAGTACATATCAATCTTGCACTATGTGGCACTGTTAATGTCAGAGTGAACTATTTTCTTGTCTACTGGCTTATTTTTGGAGTGACTCATCCAAAATGACCAAAACATTTTTAAATTTGGAAACAATATATATATAAATGACTTTTTGCGTGGAAATGTCTGGATACTTGTCCTCCTCCCACTGATACCATACATCCTGACTGAGACGGGACTCCACAGCCACATCAAACAATACTCCCTGTCAGACGGTCTTTACCTTTACCTGAAAGTTCCACACGCTGTGGTCGACCCCCTTCAGGTCCATGATCACCTGCTCACTAGATGGCGGCAGTGTACTGGGGTCGGAACTCTGATTACACAAGCTGTCGATGATCTCCTGGAGGTGCGTGACCTCTGTGAGGAGGCTGATCTCATTGTCCTGAAACACACAGACGCGTGTACATTCATGGAGGAATAACACTGTCAAAAGTCAGGCATTACTACATTTGTACTCAGGAAAAATAATGTTCAATTCAACAGTATTACTGAAATCACCCAAATTAAGATATTTCACTGAAATAAGATTACATCTGTTTAATCAATTCACATATTTTCCCCAAAGTATCATCTGGGACAGTAGAATGTTTGGGTACGCCTGATGAGTGATTATTGCTAAAAGCTGTATCAGAAACCTTGCAGCTCCATGCAGTCTGAAATAAAGCTGTTCAGTAACAGAAAAAGTCAAAAGTTAAGTTGAGATTTTAGTTAGTTATCTGTCTCCCAGAACATAAAGAACACATTAAGAAATAAATCCAGCCAACATCAAGAACGACTGGCAAGTCTAGATTGCGTCTGCTCTTGGAAATCATTGCTCTGGACACATTTAGGTTTTATTGTATACTTTGAAGATACAGATCTTTAAAAAAGATAACTGTATTTCTGGGACTACATGTTAGTCTAGTCAATTTTTAGAAACTATTAATCCCTGTTCAAATCTTGTTATGGGTTCAGCATTCAGTCCTGGCTCTACTCACAACAAACGGCTTGAGAGCACTGACGAAGACACAGTATCTGGCCCGCTCCTCGATGAGGGCTGTCCGCACACAGCTCTTTTCAGATTCCTCCAAAAGGAGGTACTTGTCGTTTACATCCTGCATGGCGTTGTCCAGTCTGCTCTGAATGTCACCCTTGCCTGAAACAAAGAGAAGAGACTTAGGGAACGGACTGTCTGACATCTGCATGTTTCTACTGCCTGGACAAAAAGAGAGGCCATTCAGGCAACTGACAATTTCACCTTCTGCATGTCTACCTTGCATGAAATGAAGACAAGACAAAGAAGGAACTGACCACACGTCATAATTCTAGAAATATTCTGCCATAATACTATTTACCCAACTCATCCATTATCTGTATTTTTCTTAAGAATGGTGTACGTAACATGTACACATCACGTTCAGGTCAGAACAGGACCCAGCGAACTCCAAGACTGCCATCAGAGCCAAATAAAATGTGTTTCGGTTTTTGCCTTTCTGTAGTTCACTATCCCACTCAGTTGAGATATAAATGTAAATATGTAATTTTCTGAGTAAAATTGATATTTTATACTTATCCTGACTCATGCTCTTTTGCTTGTCCCCTTCCTCTTGCGAACATAGTGGAACACTTGTATCTCCTTAATTGAAGCTCCCTTCAATGTAAAATCACTAATTGGTACTCACCCCCGAGTTACCTCCCCTGCCGTAAGCGCGGGAACAGGTGTCGCCACCCTCTGGCCTCATGCTTCACTCTCTCCTGATTTTGCGAGCCCAACACTTGAATTTACAGGGAAATCCAAAGTGTTATGTGGGGAGGATGGGAGGGCTAACCTCATGAGTCAGGATAAGTATAAAATATCAATTTTACTCAGAAAATTACATATTTTCCTTATCCTGACTCATGCTCTTTGCTTGTAGAATCCAATCGAGAGGTGGTGGGTAAACAGAATACTTTGGATTAATTAGTGATTTAAGTAAGTGATATTGTAATACCCCTCTTGGAACTTCATAAGGCATTGAGACTTAGGATATTTCCTTATAATAATCCATAGATATATACACTATAAGTGGGGTATTACCTTACTAATATACTGATATATCAATATATATATATAAACTGCTACTCTAACGTAGCTGTACACTGAATATAACTCAGTATGAGCTTAAGGTTGAATAACCTAAGCTAAATATGTACATAGCCCTAGAACTCCATGGAGTTATAAGCTAGTGAATATATGTATCATATATCTAATAATCTCGTGGGGGTGAATATTAACGCCTACGAGGGACTGTCAATTGCTGAGCGAGGACCAAAGGACCGAAATGATGAATGCCAGAGACGTCCTCGGTGGTGATATCTCTGAGATAGTGATTAGCAAACACCATGTTAGATTTCCAAAAGCATCCTTCCATAATTGTATTCAATGAACAGTTACCATGAAGGGCGAGGGTGGATGCCAATGCCCTGATTTCATGGGGATTTGATGCTGTTGGAGGGTCCAGTCCTGCTGCCCTATATAGGCGTAAAATGACAGTTCTTATCCATATTGATATGGTGGTAAGAGAGACTTCTGTCTGATTTGTAGGTTATAACGGGATGAACAATCTTCTGAGCGATCTTCGCCTTGTTTTGGAACGACGTAAATAGATTATGAGAGCTCGTACTGGGCATAGAGATAAGTCCAATGTATCTTGAGATCCAAGAATTGAGGATAGCGCAGGGATGTGAAATAACCTGTCTGGTTGACCTGGTAGTTGATTTTTAGCGATGAAATCCCATCTTAATCCCAGGTGCGCTGTCTTTGATTTTCATCAAACTGTATCCTCTCATAATCTAGAGCATGAATTTCAGATATTATGGCTGCCGTGGCTAGCGATAACAGGAAGACTGTTTTCTGTGAGAGAAATTCAAACGTTGTCGATTCCAATGGTTCGTAATCCTCACTTGTGAGGTGTCAGTAAAACTACATTCAGATCCCAAGCTGGGGCGTGGAATTTCCGCTTTGGTCCTCCAATCGAAAGCACGTAGTAAGGCCAGTAACTCTGGTGTTCTTGTTAATTTAACACCCGTTCTCATAGAAATCACAGAACTAAGCGGCGCAAGATATGTTGACAATGTCGAGCCTTTTAAATGTTTGTTTTGCCGTAAGTAACACAAATAGTCTGCCACTTGAGGAGGATGTAGCATCTCTCGCTGTAAAACCCTTGTTTGTTGCATAATTTTTGAAACTTTGCCACTTGTCATCGCATACAAGTTACGTTGAGTATCGTAAGGCAAGCGTGATCGCTTTTGCAGCCCTGGTAGAATATCCTCTCTTGTTTAAACACATTTTAATACAGTCCATACGTGAAGTTTGAATACTTCTGGGTTTCTGTGCACCTGTTTGGTGTGAGGATGTATTAACAGGTTTTGGCGCTTGGGTAGTTCTAGTGCGGTTGACCGATATCTTGTATTAAGGCGGAAACCACGTTCTGGCCGGGCCAATAGAAGCGACCAAAGTGAGTTGTAGGCTCTGGCGCTTGGTTGATTTTCTGTAATACTAGAGGTATTATTGCTGAAGCGAAACGCTGGCGACGCATTGAGGCCTTCCCATGAAATGCTTAGAGCGTCTGTTGCCCATGCTTGTGGGTCTGGCACTGGTGACACCTAATGTCGGTAGTTGATTGTTGAACCTTGTGGCGAATAGATCTACTAGCGGGCCCTATTTGCTTGATTATCTGTGCAAATATCTCTGTATTGAGCATCCATTCTGTCGTGACGGTAGATGTGGCGTCGAGAGTGCGTCTGCTAGTATATTCCTGGCTCCGGAATGTGGCATGCTTTGACATGTAGATTTAGATCTTGGATTAATTCAACAGTTGAAAGGTTAAATTCAAAAGGTTGGCGATCTCGTTGAGCCTTGTCTGTTCACATAAAACGCCACTGTCGAAGTTGTCGGTATGTATCATCAGGTGCGCATTCTGTAGAATGTTGCTCCAATGTCTTATGGCGTTGATTACAGCTTTCATCTCTAATGCGTTTATGTGGAGTTTGCTTTCTAGCTGAGTCCATAACCCTGATGCCGTCCGATTGGAGAGATGAGCTCCCCAACCTTGGAGCGACGCGTCTACATATAGATGGGTCTTGAATTCCTGCTCTGCTAAACAAATCCCTTCGCAGACATTCGATTTCTTTGTCCACCATAATAGATGAGGTCTGAGATGTATCGGTAGACTGAATGGTTGTAGGTCGTCGAGATGTGTATTGACGAAGACCTGTAACGGACGTAACTGTAATCTGCCTATGACTGTCAAGTCTTGGGCTGATGTTAGAAGACCTAGTAAGCTCTGCCATTGTCGAAGTGGTAGCGGTGACAGTAGAGCTGGTGGAATGATCTGTTGGATCTTGAGCCAACGGTCTTCTGGTACTACTATACGGTTGAGATTGGTGATAAATCGGATTCCTAGGAATTGCAGATCTTGCGATGGTACTAGGTCCGACTTGTGTAAGTTTACTAACCATCCCAGCTGTGTTAGTAGCTTTATGATGTAGTTTAACTGTAGTTTGAGATGCTGTGGATCTTGATCTACTTGTATCCCGTCCGTCGAGGAAGAACGCACTCGCGTAGCCCTTGACGATGTAGATAGATAACAATCGGTTTCGTTATCCTCGTGAATAACCATGGGGCTGATGCTATTCGAATGGGAGTACTTTCCACTGGTAATGTAACCCGCCTAGCGTAAACCGAAGGTATTTCCTGGATTCGGGATGTATTGGGATGTGCAGATAAGCATCTTGTAGATCTATACTGCCCATGTAGTCCATGGGGCTTAATCATCTGCCGTAGCTGCGGTAGATGTATCATAGTGAACCTGGGTGGTTTGTTTAAGTAAGTCTTGTTGAATAAGCTCATGTTGTAAATGAGTCTGTATTTCTCCTTGGAGTTCTTCTTGGGTACTAGGAAAACTGGGGAGTAGAAACCTGGTTCGATGTTTCCTTGCTCTATTACTTCTATGGCCTGCTTGGTTAGGAGTAATGTAACCGCCTCTCTTAACTTTAGTAGTTGTTGTGCCTCTACCTCGAACTTGTGAGGGTTGACTGTTAGTGGAGGCTTGGCCTGTAGTGGGATAATAAACCGTTGAAGAATGTTGGAGACATAGGTGTCTTGAAGTATTCCCCAGTTTTTCCAGTGTAGTTGAAGACGCCCACCCACTTGTGACGGTTGTACTGGAACGGCTGGGGTGGAAGACTCCAGTCGTTCAACCTGTCTTTCAGCGTTTATAGTTGCGGGAACCTCTGGGTGTCCTGCCTCGTCCTGACCCTCCTCTATAGTTGCCATATGGGCTTAATTTAAAAGAATCTCTTCCCCTGGAACTGGCAATCTTCCTGTCTCTAGCTCTTTGTAGGCCCGTGAATTTAGATCTCCTGAGTATCTTTGTGAAGTCTGTCGAATGACACTGGCTAGCGGTCCATCGATTTAATCATCAGGACTTCTCTAGAATCCTTGGTGACTTCTTTGGAGACTGTGTCTATTCCTCCGTCAAATATGGATGGGGAAGACCACGGGCTGTATATAGTGGAGCTGTAAAGTTCTCACCCCAGTTGCAGGAAGCTAGGAGGCCTTGACGACGAGCTAAGGTCAGTGCTGCTGAGACAGACGCCAGATGATCTGTTAAAACTGCTGGTCCTTCTTTTTTGCATCAGTAGGGCCGAAAGTAAATCATTCTGTCATCTTCAGAGGTCGTGTTCAAATCTGGAGATAAGTGTCTCATTTATTGTTCTAGATCTATTTAGACCGAAGAACATACTCGTCATGGTTTCTATCTGAACCAATTTCGATCATCAATCTTGTAGTACTTGTTCTTGGCATCGAGATCAGCTTATAGTTCTCATCGATGTCTTGCGCTTTGAAGAAGGGTTCCATATTATGCGTGGAGAACTTCTTGGCGCTGAAATTTGGCAGATGTGGCGTCTGAACCTTTGTGGCTTTGTTAAATGCTGTATCTAGGTTCTGAGGTACCGCTAATCGGTCGATTGGGGGTAGTGTAATAGCATCTGCGTCATCTTCTTTCATCAGATAAGTCTGCTTTATTGCCACTCTTGGAAGGTGATGAGAGATCTAGATTATTGACCATCCAATATCTTATCTCTGCATCTGAGAAAATAATTCCTCCATCA